CCGGGTATTCAGTGCCTGTGATGCCACAACTCCATGGAGGTCTATTGCTCCCAGTATGCCTCTAAGTGCAATTCATGGTTCTGCTACTCACTTTTAAAGCCCTTCATGATTTGGGGCTGGATTACTTATGGCAGGGGTCCCCAACCTCCGGGTCATGGTTCACTACCGGGCCATGAGCAGCGGGCAAGCGGGTGCACGCGTGTTCCATTTGTGCGAAGCCATCTTCTCCCCCACTGTTCCAGAAAGCCAGAACGTTTGGGGAACTCTGACTAATGGGACACCAATTGTTTCTATCCATCCCATCTGGTCTGGCAGAATAGGCATGCTTTATGTCCCGTCTTTTGGAGAATGTCATTTGGCCAGACCCATGAGCAGAGCCTTTTTTTGTCATGGCAACTGTTCTCTGGAATAGCATCCCTCCAGAGATCAGATTGGCCCCAACTTTGCTGGCCTTCTGCAAGGCTCTGAAGACTTGGTTCTGGGCCCCTGGGTATACAATGAAGTACATTTTCTGTTTGCACTGACTGTATGATGCTTTTGTAGTTTATCTCTCAGGTGCTATGCATTTTATGTTTTTGAGTTCAGCAGCCATATAAATTGATTAAAAAGTAGAAAAAAAATAAAATGAATAAGAAACTTTGTGTTATTGTGGCTAAAGAGTCCAGGACCATTACGGAAATCAGCTACTACATTCAGCCTGCATATATATTTCACGTAAATTTCAAAAAATTTCCTTTTTATCTGTTTGGGATTTATTTAGCAAAGAAGACTATCAATGTTGTACATAGTGACTGTCATAACTAGCTGTGTGTGGGGTCAAGGTATTGACATCAGAGGCATTTCTGAACAAAGATGTTGCAGTTGGTGGGCGGATGGCACTACTGTCAGCTGTTGCATGACCTCGCATAAATAGTATCATCACAACTTTAATCTTTCGGGGGTTCAGAGGTAGTGTGCATATTTCTGTTTAACCCCTGGACGCTTGCCTGCATTCATGACCCTTTAACAATTCCTATTCCTCTGCCCGCCTGTGGCACCTTGGCTCCAAATAGTCTCGGAATAAAGCCAATAGTTGTATACTTCCATTGTTTGTACGTCTATTGTGAGAAGTATAAAACATGCTACCTTTTGCATAATATGTGGAGGAGCTACGGTAGACATTATGAAATGATCATTTCCCAGTTTGATATGTTAAAATTTACCTTAAGCATTAAGCTTTAATTTTGGAGGAAGAAGTACCTGTGCATTGTTCATATGATTCAGGAAATGTATATACTTTGTATTTGGTAGTTTCATATGTATGTTTTTCAATGTCAGCTAAACTTAGACATATCTCTACTATGTAGAAAAGCTTAGTGGCATACGTGGGGTGGGTTCTCTTTGCATTTAGTCTTAATTCTAGATAAGCTCTATTAACTTTCAGAATAAACCTATAGCAAATGCCTTTACTCTTGGGAACCTTTACTACTAATTTAAGCACAAAAGTTTTAAATTTTCATTAAGAAGGCATTGACTATAAGAATTTGTTAGCTAAGTAGCAGGATTTGACTGACTCAGCAGGTGACTCTCACACAGGGGTGGAATTCAAATTTTTAACAACCGGTTCTGTGGGCGTGGCTTGGTGGTCATGTTATTGGCTGGGCATGGCCAACTCAATATCACTCACATCGAGGCACGCATCTCCTTGCCTGGCCTCTCATGACTGTGGGGATGCTGCAACAGTCGTAAGTGTGAAAAATGGTCATAAGTCACTTTTTTCAGTGCCATTGTAACTTTGAATGGTCACTCCACACAAGCAAAATACCAGCAAAGGAGGGGAAAAAAACTCAAGAGACGTTCCTGAGACAGGAAGTCTAGTCCTGCCAAGAATGTTACAAAAGGAGAGGCAGTTTCTGTAAGCAACACCAGAATGTTTCCTTCCTGCCTTCCTTACAGGATTAGGCCAGTAATTTCTTCTAACAACTGGTTCTCCGGACTGATTAGAATGTTAACAACCGGTTCTAGCGAATTGCTGTGAACTGGTAGAATCACATCCCTTCTCTCACATTCAAACAGGTTTATAGCAATGATTGAAATGTACCACAAAGTCTGTCTATCTAATCCATTGCTTTAGAAATATAGTCAATAAGTGAATCATAATTTTCTTATAAAGTAGGCATTTATAGCTAGTGTTCTATTTAAACTGATCTTTCCTGCCAGTATTAGTATGAGCTTCAATAATTAGATCTACCCTTTTTTGAACTCCCTTTGGCGACCTCCTAATGAATCAGTGCCTACCAGATGAAGTTTTAAAACTTGAATGCTTATAATAGTAGTATTTGTGCTGTCATTCACCAAGACCAATTAAAGACTTAATACATGGTTTTTGGTAGCATGTCATGACCTTAACAAAAATTTGCAAATATAGAAAGTGCAACAACAATCAATATTAATAGATAACAGATAATCAGAGTTGGAAAGGACCTTGAAGGTCATCTAATCCAACCCCCCACCCAAGCAGGAGACCCTGGCCTACACCATTTCTGACAAATGGCAGTCCAATCTCTTCTTGAAAGTCTCAAGTGATGACTCTCCCACAACTTCCGAGGGCAAGTTGTTCCATTGGTTGATTCTTCTCACTGTCAGAAAGTTTCTCCTTATTTCCAGGTTAAATTTCTCCTTGTTCAGTTTCCATCCATTATTCCTTGTCTGGCCTACAGGTGCTTTAGAAAATAGCTTGACCCCATCCTCTCTGTGGAAGACTGCTATCATGTCTCCCCTGGTCCTTCTTTTCCTTCTCACTAGAATAGCCATGCCCAGTTCATGTAACCGTTCTTCATATGTTTTAGTCTCCAGTCCTCTAATTGAAACATCTTAACATGAAGAGTTTACATATTGGTACCCCAGTAATATTTTCAGCCCAAAGATAATTTGTGCTACTTGCTTAGTAAATTATTTGTCTAAAATTATTAGTATACTGAGCTAGGTTAGGCCAGAGACAACATACATTCCTGTTGATTTTTAGTTCAAGATGTACCCCAAAAATAGGACAAATCCAAATCAAGTTGAGTTAACTTAAGGAAAGTCCAGCATTGATTGCTTTGCTGGATGACTTTCATTGGGGTCTGGAAAGGGACAGTTCCCTTCACTTGGCACTATTAAACCTCTCAGCAGCATTTGGTATCATCAGTTATGGCATCTTTCTAGAATGTCACTGAAAATTGGGAATAAGGGAAACTATATTACAATGATTCTATCCTTTCTGGTGTGCCAGTTCCAATCAGGGGTTTTGTAGCAGGAGAGATTGTCTCTAATGAAGTATAGAAATATAGAGTTACTATTTGTTTGTTGAGGTTCTTTGCCACCTGTATTTTTAATTCTGAATAGGTAGTGCTTCCCCTGAAGGAACCGGCCTATGATTTTTCATCATGGTTGAAGAGGGATGATCTTTGCCCAGCTTTAGTTGATGTGCCAGTTCTGGCTTAATGGTTCAGAGGTTTGGCCATTGTGGAAGGCTCCACCCATGCTCCTTCCTTCCCCTGCATTCTTGGTCCTCACCCTTCATCAGGCCAACTTGGCTGCCAATCAGACACCAATAAAACAAGGGAGGAGGAATGGAAAAGAGAAGATGGCTGCCTGGGAGCTTTGCCATCACAGGCCTTATAAGCAAGAAGCTGAGTAAACCACGCCAAAGTCCTGGGATCAAATAAAGAGACAAACTAAATTATAGCCAGCCTGGATGAGGTGAGACGCAACTCCCTCTCACTGGGGAAGAAAGGCCATTTATTTCCTTCCCTCTACCATTTACAAATAAGCATTCAGAAGAAGAGGGGAAGAATCAAGAAGCCCAATAAGCAGAAAAAGTGAAGAAATAGTAAAGACAGTGACAGAAGAGAAATAAAAAGCAGAAACTAAAAAAGATAAATGGCAAATTTAGCTTTGTAAGTTTTCCCATGATAAAATCAAAATCACCCACTAAGGGATATACAATCCAACCAACTGCTAAGTTTCCAGTGCTTTGGCTTATTAAGTCTGGGTCAAACTGGTTCCTGGTGATTCAGAAAAAGAACATGCAATGGCCACAATAACTCACACCTGTATCATCAGGTGACCAAATTACTGCAATTAAATACTGCTCAGAAACTGCTGCTGTTGTAAAATGAGGTGGCCTGAAGCTTGGCAGATAAAAGGAAAGTCCTACATTGGTTTCTAGTAGGTTTATGATTGCAATTCAAAGTGCTAGTTTTAAAGTACAAAGCTCTATATAGCTTTGAACTGGCTTTTTCCAAATGGAATCAATCCAACAATATTCTCTTGATTTGGGGACATATGGGTGGCAGGATGCTGGAAGCAGTGTTTTCCAATGATGGTCTCTGCTCTATGGATTAGTGTTCTTCCAGGTGCCAGTTTGAAACAAACCTTGGCAGTATTCTGACAACTGGTGAAAATTGAATCTTTTCTAGAGTTTTGGGGGGACAAGGGAGTAAGCACCTAGATATGGTGGATTAGACTATTACTATTTTTATTGGTTTCTATTTTATTACTGTTTTATTATATTTTATGTCATATTTTTTCAATAATTCTGAGGATTGTAATCATGGCATCATCTAGAATGGCTAAATAAATGTAATTCTAAATTAGCAAGCATTCTTTGAAATGTCTTACACACAAAATAGTTTCTCCACATTTTTAACTACCATGGGATTCAAACAGTGGTGGGATTCAAATGATTTAACAACTGTTTCTCTGCCCTGATGATTTCCTCCAACAACCAGTTCACCAAACTGCTCAGAAAGTTAACAACCAGTTCTCCCGAAGTGGTGCAAACTGGCTGAATCCCACTACTGGGTTCAAAAACAACAATATCAAGACCAGGTAACAAGTGCTTTTCCGACTAAATTCAAATCTGAGAATAGATGTGACATTTATTATTTTAATGATAAAAGATCTGATATAATATAATCAAATTTTCATATAACAAATTATTCAGCTAATAAATTTATTTCGTCAAATTTTCTTAGCAAACTCTGGCCTGTTCCATTTTAACCGCATTGCTAAGTGAGTTCTCAAGTTCAAGTAAAACCAGCAACATTGGATTAAGCATGGAGTTCCACGGCAATTGCAAACTAATATTTCAGGTTAGTATGTGTTTCTGTGTTTCTAAGAACAATGTAAACAGGGAAAGATACATGATGTTGCAGACATATGGAAGAGAACCATGTAATACTAATAGGCCGGAGGAATTAAACTTTGGATTAGAAATTGTGTGTGGGGGGTTTCCTATGTGATACTTTTGTGTTTTCTTTCTCTCATATATTTCCACAGTTACTCAAATGAAAGTAATAACAATTGAATCACAATGCATACCATAAGCAAAGGTTGCAAGTACTACCAAGAAAGTTATAGAAATAAAAATGGAAGGCCGTCCAAAGAATAGAATTCCTTTCCAAATGATAAGAGCCATGGTGGCACAGTGGTTAGAAAGCAGTATTGCAGTCTAACTCTGTCTACAGTCAGGAGTTTGATCTTGATGATCAATGTTGACCCAGCCTCCCGTTCTTCTGAGGTTGGTAAAATGAAGACCCGGACGGTTGGGGCAATATGCTGACACTGTAAATCACTCAGGGTTCCGTAAAGCACTATGGAACAATATATAAGACTAAATGCTATTGGTATAAGAGCTTAGAGGAACACAAGTTTGAATAAATTAAATTAAAGCAGACAACAAAAAAAGCATTTGAGCAGCCATACCACTAATTAAGTTTTTAAAAATCCAGCAATTGAAAACCACAAAACATCTCTTTACATTCGTTGGGAGCAAAAGGAGTTAACATCATTGGCTGAAATCAATAACTAGTTCCAGATGCTGTCCATCCAAGTGTTTTTAAAGGACTAACATGTGAAATTGCTGATCTTCTAGGAAAAATATGTAGCATTATTCTACTTGTATTAGAGAACTGGAATGGAACCCAGGAATTATCAAGGAGGTTATATGCCAGAAATTTAACATCTGTTCTGAATAAATGTAGAAAGCATGATTAAAGATGGAATTATCTATCAAAGAAAAATAGGCTGAAGAAAAAAGAATACAATTGTCTTTTAAAAATAAATCCTGAACCTGTCATATTAACTATGTCCTGAGTGTCAGTAAATATTTATTAGTCAGGGAGACATTAATGGATTTTTCAAAAGCCCTTTGTTAAAACTCTCTAAAAATTCCTGGAAAATTTAATGTCATTAATTACATTTTAACAAACTTAATGTCATAAGGTTACATATTAACAAATACTGAAATTGGTTCAATGTAAAAGGAAGCACATTGAGGGAAAAATCAACTTCCCATATACACTGTTGAGCCTGGTGATTGATTGATTGATTGATTTGATCTCAGCAGATGACTCTGAGCGGCTCACAGTTCAGAAATATGTATTATAATTAAAATCTTAAAAATTTCAAAACAATAAAAACCATTAAACCACTCAAAAATATTAAAATGTCTCAATTCGAGTAAATACAAAACAAAGACAACTGGCCAGTTAACAATATAACCAGGTGGTATGGCCATTGGTGCAGGTAGTGCCCCAGACTGAGGAACATAGCCAGGTCTTTAAAGCTTTAAACAAGGTTAGGCCAATGTCAGTTTTATATTGTTTGGAGCTCTTCAGGGAAAAAAAATGAGTAAATGCATTTCAGTTTAAAGAAGCATGAAGTAATTCACACTGAGCAAAGACCTAACTTTACAATGCATTGATGAAAGCAGATATGTATTGCTACTCATGAAAAAAAATGAATTTGTAAATGTTAATGATGATATCAACTTAGTGTGTGGCAGCTGTGAAAAAAATATCAAAAAATTATCAAAATTATCACCTACCTTATGGGAGAAAGGGCTAAAATATTTGGGACACTTTAGTTTGGAAAAACACTAGTGATACCTCCTGGTTGAGTGTAATATGAGAGTAATAGTGGGCTCCTACTTGTGAATACTCCAAAACCAAACTGATTGACCACCAGGAGAAACAAAGGCTTAAATAAGATAGATTTTAAAGCCATTTTGACTACAATTATGTTATTTGGACAAACTAGTAAGAGAAGGTCTTGTCATCAGCAAGTAGTGCTTCATGCTCAGAGGCATAGCAATGGCAGTGTGTTTTAAGAGAGAGATGGTAGAATTCTACATGAGAGATGGTAAAATTACACTCTTTTTCGTCTTTGTGGATTTCCTGTAGGCTTTTAAGATAAAGCATACTGGACTAGGTGATCTTTTGATATGATTCATATATGATCAACCTAAACTTCTCTGATGAACAAGAACTAAGTTTTTTTTTATAGGAAATGCATGATTTCTGTGTAAAATATTCAGTCCATGAGGAATAGAATTAGATTGGTTTGAGAGTTGTAATTCAAATGTTTAATTTGATTTGCATACTGATTTATATTATGCAAAATTGAAAGATTATTAAAACATCTGGTCTTTATTCTATGCAGGAGGATGATCTCCGTCAGATCTTTATGCTCACAGTAGAGGTACTACAGGAATTCAGCCGGCGTGAAAATCTTAATGCTCAGATGTCTTCAGTCTTTCAGCGCTACCTTGCACTAGCCAATCAGGTCTTAAGCTGGAATTTTCTTCCTCCAAATTATATCCTTTTGATCATTTGTCAAAATTCTGTGAAAGTATACCTCAGTTTCAGTAGTATGAATCCTATAAAGGAGAAGCAATATCTTAAACCTAAAAAAGATTAAAATCTGAGCATGCCGGAAGACTATCAGGAAGTAGCTGTAGTGATTATTCCAAGGTTTATGTATGTAGAGAGATAGAGTCAAGCATTTCTTTTTTCTTTTTTCACCAAGAAATACCTTATCTACTTAAAAATGTTGTTTACTGCACATGAAAAAGCTAGATATGCATAATAAAAATTGGTGGATTTATTAACAAGGTAACATAAACATAAATAATAATATTTATTATTAGTTATTCTCTAAAGCATGTCTTTTTATAGCTATACAAAAGTAGAAGCCACATTCCCCAAAATTTAAATTTCTGAAATAGCCCATTTAAAAAGGTCTGAGGGGACACTAAAAGAGAGGCAGACAGGCAGAGAAAATGGAACAGAAAGGGTGACTTCTGGTAAATATCCTACTGTATATTGCAAACTGAGAGGGGATAGTTTAAAATCTGCCTTCAGATCCCTTTTTTTCCAAGAGTTCTCTAATAAAGAACTTTTATATTAGGCCAATACTAGTTAGGTTGAACTTCTTGACACCCTTAGTCTGTAAGCTGGGAACTTTTTGGCTGCTCTGCCAAAAAATTCATTACTGCCTAGCCCAAGAAATTCCCTTATTATATTAAAGCTTAGACTGTTATATGGTTAGAAAAGTGTACTTATTGGGAAAAGGAAATATAGCATATAGGAAAAAGCAAACAAAAAAATGAACACATATGCAGAATAGTGAAGATCAACGAAATTAGTCTAGGCTGATCAGTTGCTACTTTCTTGAATAAAATCTTGACTGTCAGCATATGAAATGTCAGTTCATAGGTAGGGATCTAGTTAGAAGTAGCACCTAGATCTCCTGATGGAACATTTATATGCTCCACTTCTCTGGCTGTATATTTTGCCTCTCTCTTTTGTCTCTTTTTTTTAGCACCGTCCTCAGTTCAACAGAAGAGGAACTGTAAAAGTTTTGTTCAGCAAAACATACTGCTCAGCCTTGGATGTTCTGGATCTAGATAGCAAGTAAAAATTATTTAGCAATTAAAGCCATCTTAGTAATATTTGGCAGAATTCTAAAGATGCAGTCTGTGTTTTCCAAGTTATGACATTATATAAATAGGATTACATGGCTTTTTAAGAGAACAAAAGCTGGATTGTTTTAATTCTGGCTTCTAACTGAGGGTCCAACTTATCAGACACTTTAGGGGGCACTGTTGTGCCATATCAAAAATCTAGAGATTTGTCTTCTTGTCTTATGCCAACAAAATAGTTTGAGAGCTGGGATAGCTCCCTAATGTAGAAGGACTACAACATTTGGGATTGTTTAGAACAAAAGACAGTGAATGGAAAAATAATAGAGGTTTATAGAAACAAGCTTTATGTAGATATTCCTCTAAATGAGGGGAGATTCAAGAGCTACAGAACAAAATGCTTTTTCACAAACTACATAATTAAAGTGTGCAATCTGTTGTCAGCAATTGTAATGGGTGTTAATTTGAGTGGCTTTAAAAAGGGACAAGACAAGTCCATGAAGGATCAGACTATCAATGGCTAGTGATAGTCATTTACTACTTTCTGAATTATAGGCCACATGTCTTATATACAAGTTAAACGGAAACAACACTGCAAGGGAACGTTTCCCTGCAGTTCAGCCTTTATTTTTATTGTTCATTTGTTACATACATATATGTACCACTTTTCCTCCACAATACATCATGCCCCATTCTTTTTTTCTCCTCACCAGGGGCATTTCTGTCAGTTTGGTTGGGCTAAGAGAGAGGGTGTGTGTGTGAGACCCAGAAATGAAAAAAATGAAATGAAAAAAAAAACAAGGAGAAAGTATTTCATTCACCCAATATGCTTAACCAAGTCTCAACTTGTGTACCTGTGAAGTTATGGGCAAAACTTAAAGCTTGTTAAAAAGCTGAATTCTGGATAGCTAATGTTAGGCAGAAATTTTGGTCAGTAGTTTTAAGGAGAAAGTTATATAACAGAGAAAAAAGGCAGATTTAAGAAAAAATGTAAGAGAAGAGAAGTTCATAGAGAAATTAGCAACAGAGTTTTGGGCTCAGCTATGTAAAAGATATGAATAGTGTTCAATAAAACTTAAACTATTATACTTATTTTTTAAAATAATTAGTACAACTACAAAACTAATTCCATTTTTCTGAGTGGCATTGTTCCCTTCCCCCAACCAACCAAAGTAAATATCTGAATGTTATATGAGATTCAATAATGTATTCATTTGTGTTTGTTAACTTTTAAGAAGGCAGGTGGATAATTAAACTATCTTCTTTCAAATATACTGTTTTTACTAGATTTACATGTAATTTAGTGAATAGCAAATGCGTATGCATTCTGGATAACTGCCCTGTGTTTTAAGTATTTATAGCTTTGCAACTTTGGAGTAGTGCTTAATGTAAATGCACAAAATGATTGTATTTTTACATTGATTGTTTATGTATACTAATATCATTTTTATAGGATTACCTTGTATTATCTGAAACATAGCATATGTTTTGTCTTTTAAAGACTGCCCCTATGTAAAGTTATTAGCAAAGAAACTCAATCAAAATTAGTGTGACATGTGTGCATGAGGTGGGATATAAAGTTCCAGATTTAAACCATGTATCCATTATCCCTGCTGTGAAGTGTGTAGACACGCTTGCATATGTGTAATTGATACATTTTTTATCCAACAAGAAGCTAAACTCAGTTGAATCCTTTGAAGTATGTAGGATATGCTAGTAGGTTTCAAAGACTTAAATTGCCAGGCAACATCTGATAAAACCAGCCAAAAGCATTTTAATATACAAATCATATTTTTGACAGGTTTGATACCTGTTGAATGTGGTATCATTTTTGTTCCTTGTCTCATCGGAACGATTATTACACGATTGAGCCACTATGGAATGTTTCGTCATTGTGATCAAACTGTTATCTGGCATTCCTAGGGTGTTCTTTTTTGCAGTACAATGTCTTTTATTCCTTCTCCTCATGCATGAATTATGCTGTGTATGTGAAGAGGCTTAAAATTTGTTTCCATTGCATTCTTTCTGAATGGGACCTGTTGTATCAGGGATTTAAAACAGAAGAAGAAGAAGGCCAAATTGGAATGTTGTTGTTGACCTTGACACCAGACAACTAGGCAGACATTATATAGCTATGTTTGAATCCTCACAAAATGTGATGCTAAAGCCAACAGAGTCCTGGCGTGAGACCCTCCTGGACAGCAGAGTGATGGAGCTTTTCTTTACAGTAAGTTCCATTGTTCTCTTTTGCTAGTTTAATAGCAACAAAGCTACAGCTCCCATCACTTCTTTCTCGGATTGTTGTTGGATTTTTCCCTCTCTTGGATGCGGTAGGAAGACTTCAGGTAAGAGTTGCATAAACCATACTCTATGCTTTGCCAACACAACTGGTTAAATCTTTTAAATCAGTCAGTGTTTGTATGAATTCCTCTGCATTGTCTTCATTTAATTTAATAATGGTTGTGATTTAAACAGAACAGGGTTGTTGAGTATCTTTCAACTACTTCTTCAGTATTGCCGGTCAAATAAAATTTCTCTAGTTGATTGTAAAAACAAATTAAGCTATGCCTGCTCTCCTCTTAGGCACTATGCAAATAGAGTAAAACAAAACTAAAGGGAGCTTAAAGCTGTTTCCCATTTGGCAACTTCCTACATGGATAATGTTTTCATTTAGGAAACTTATGTTTATTCTGGCATGTACCATAAGAGTGCCTGCATGATGCATATAGCTTTTCCTCTGGAATCTTAGTTCTGTGTAAGAATTTGTGGCATTTCATGTGAACCAGCCTGTGCTGTTTGAGTTAAGCGCTCTTCATGAAATGTTCAGTCCAGTCATCTGCAAGTTCAATATGCAGAAGAAGGAAATCCCAATTTAACTATGATCAATATCCAGCAAAGAAAAAGAAAAAAGAAAAATTCAGAAGCAACAGCTAAGCAGAGCAGAGATAGTGTAACAGTCATATTAGGTCTAAAAATTAAGCCAAGGTGAGGAAAGAATTGAATAAAATATAAGGAAATGGTGCAAGACAAGATAAAAGTAGTAGGTGTTTAAAAGCTCAGCATCTATGTGAGTTTTAAAAGGTGTTCACTTGTTAAATAGAACCAACATGTACCGTGTTTCTCATATAATAAGGCCGGGTCTTTTTTTTTTTTTGAGCCCCCCAAAAATGGTTAGGCCATCTTTTCGGGGGTGACTTAATTCCCCCCCCCCACCTTGCATCTTCAGGCGGGTGGGCAGCGATGGCTTGGATGTTGACCTCGGCGTTGGTGGGGTACTTCATATTGGGGTCAACGCAGGCAGCACGATATCCGGGTCTGCAACAAAAGTACTTCTTAACAGCAAGCCCCCCCACCATTCCCCCCCATTTCGCATGTTTTAATATAGGCCTTAATTTGGGGGGAGGGGCTTAATTTCATTTCATGCCTATAAAACATGCTTGTTGGAGAAACAGGGTAATAAATAATCATTCAAAATACAATAAAATACTAATTAAAATGAATTAAAACTAACAAAATTCCATGTAATGCTTATTATTTTAGAATTAGCTCAGTGCTTTAATATATTATTAAATTGAGACAACATAGAAATTGCTACATATTTTTATTTTTACAATATAAAGATGTTTCAAAAATTGGTAGGGAATACATCTCCTGAATAGCAATACACTTTTTCAGCATGATGAGTGTACATTTTCTCCCCCAAGGTATGATAATTTTCTATGAATTAATGGAGAAATGGACCATGTTTTTAGCATTAGACAACTACCTTAGGTAATTTGTTTTTGGAAAATAAACAGCAACTGTTCTCCTCCCCCCCCCCCCCAATAAATTAGAATAAGATAGCTAGAATTTGGGATTGTTGCTTTTAAAACAATGGATGTGTTTAAGACTTTTTTTTAAAAAAATAGTGCTTTTATATAGCATGCTACTTTATTCCAAAATATTTAGTTATAGATATGTGAATTAGTTGTAAGTTTTTAATCTTGCTTAGGCATTTTCAAAAAAAATAAAATAAAAAGCTGTGCTGGCAGACCACTTAACAGCTGCACACGATATGAACAGCTGTCTAGACAACCAGACAGTTGCTACTGTCAGCTGGGACCTCCTCAGGCAAATAACTTTTAGGTTTACAGGTTAACCCTTTCTAATATAATTCTTCATTGGCAAGCCTTTGGGTTAAATTCCTTTGGTTGCTGGTAAAGGAACTAATTTTTAGATTTAAATCTTGTTTTCACCAGATTCACTTTTCCCAATAAACATCAACTCCATATTAATAAAATAGGGGTTAACAATTTTATTTATCTGTTATTCACTGGATCTCCAGAATAATCTCTTCTATACTGTTATAAATTCCTCATTTAGAGTAGATTTGCTCCATTTGTAACTCAATTTAAGTAATGTATTCCTTGATTGTCAACAAAATCAGTTATGAATTTAATTTTTAAAATAATTACAGGTGCCTTTCATTATTATCTAGAGAATATATTCTAGTTTGTAGGTATTCTAGTTTGTTGTGAAGCTAAATTTCAAATTTTCCCTATAAATAAAAATAAAGTCTCCATTTTGACAACTGTGTATTTTGTTGTAGGAATAACAACTGTACATTATATTTTCTTGTAGGTTTTCTGTATTTATTAAACACTATGTATTGTGAGCAGTTCATAAGACATGTTAAGCACATGCAATAATATAATAGCAATAAATATTAATTTAGTGTGCATTTAAATTGATTGTGAGACTAGTGTTTGTTAGGTTATAATGACCATTTGAACTATTACATTTGTTTAAACAAGGAGAAAACAATTGTCCCATATTACTTTATAATAATATATCCTAAAAGGGTATCAGGATATTGAATTCAGAAATTCTATTATGCATCCAAAGTTGTCTGTTAAAGATTGGTCTATTGATGCCCACGCCTGCTATAAATATTCCGTCTACAAATGATTGATCTATAGGAGTGATTTATTGTCCATGAGGATCCCTTAAGGAGGCTAGTGCCAAAAAGGAGAGCAGTCTTGCAGACAGAAACAATAGGATCAAGACTAAAGAGGTTTGGGAAGTTATAAGAAGATTTTGCTTCAAGGAAATGTGTTTGGTTCTTGAGAGTTTGGTGTTTACCTCTACTAAAGAAGCATCTATATAATCTTGATTGAACTTGTCGACTAACTTTAGCAAGGCACTGTAGCCCAGGCATAGTTAGCATAATAGAGATGGCTGTCATTATTGCTGTTTTTAGAAGGAGCAGCATGTCTGACTGGCTGGCAACTGTTTCCCTCTAAGACTTAAAATGCATAGACAGTTTAACATGTAGGTAGGTCCCTGGCTTTGACTAATTTAATATGACCGCTTGAGTTGGTCTCCTGAAGTGGCAGTTTGCATACATACCAAGGAATGACTACTAATACACAAGATATTAGGAAAAGCTGTTTATGTGTCGGGGTGCATGTGTGTTTGCTCACGCTCTTTAGGACTGTGTCATGTGATTATGGTAAAAGAACATCTTATTTCTTCTCCCCACCTCCTCATGTGATGTTAACCCTCTCACTTCTGAAAAGGTGCATCGAAAAATTAGAGAAGACACGGATATGGCACAAGACTCTCTGCAGTGTTTAGCCCAGCTAGCCTCTCTTCATGGGCCAGTCTTTCCAGATGAAAGCTCTCAAGTTGATTATTTGGCTCACTTCATTGAGGGATTGCTCAATACCATCAATGGGTAGGTAATATGCTTGCTTCCTAGAATTTGGGATTGCTGGGGAAGGGAGGTGGGACTTGTGTTCTGTTCTTTGAAGAGCAGCAAAGCACTACAACATAAAGATACCTTTCTGAGCAATAATGGAATGCTATTAAACTTTACAATAAAGTTATTGGGCTTTTTTCTTTTTTTAAAAAAAATGGTTTTGTCTACAGGATTGAGATAGAAGATTCTGAAGCTGTGGGCATATCCAGTATAATCAGCAATTTGATCACTGTATTTCCTCGCAATATATTAACAGCCATTCCAAATGAACTTTTCTCTTCGTTTGTTAACTGCCTCACGCATCTCACATGCTCTTTTGGAAGAAGTGCTGCCTTGGAAGAAGTTGTAAGTAGCAACATAAATTTTGTGAGGTTCTTCCAAAATGTTGAAACTTTAAAATACTTTTAGTTTTATGTAATGTCTAGCTTATGGTACTATTTTTTCCCTTAGTGCTCAGTTAATTTGTAATGGTTACAGTGAGCTGCATCCTTTCCTGTGGTCCTATTCTGTTTTATGAAGAAATTTAGTTGGTTTAAAGGCTCCTAATGAAGCACAAAATCACCCTGAGTTGAAGCGATGTACTAGATGCAGAGTTGGCAGTTCTGCAGTGAACTATATATTTACGTTGTGTTTTGATATTTTCCTCAGTTTAGTATTGTTTGATATTAGCATGAAAAAATGAAGTTTTGACATTATGTTACTCCAATTAAAATTTTTTTAGTTCCTGTTATAATAACATTTTGTGTGGGGATTATATCAACATTGCTGGATATAGTAGGTTGAACTGAATAATTTCCCGCATGTGAACATTTTTGTTGCCTTTACTGCATTCTTTATAAGCTTAAAGCAATTAACTGAAAATAAATCAATAAATCTATAAATATTATATATTCATATTATAAGGATTTTTCTGTACAGTGGTTTACAGTTGTAAATGTATTTATAAGGGAAATACAAAACTGAGGAAGAGGAAGACATGAAAACTGGTAACGTGTGCATATTTTAAATCTGAACTTCTGGGGTGAAAGAATTTGCGTTTGGTCTCCAATTTAACGGGATTTTTTTTCCATTTAATTGTTCTTTCTTATAAAGCACACTCCATATCTCTCTCATCTTGCATTTTAGTTTACATACATTTTATCTCTAATTCTCCTCCACTATTGAGTAAGAGATCTATATACCATCTGTGTAACATCTAGTTTGGGCTTCCAGAATTGTCTTCAGCTTTTGCTATGTAAAATTAAGATTTAGGAGTAAGAGGCAGAGGTTTCAAACTATTCCACTTTTCAAATTGAGCAGAATAGGTTAAGAGTAATTGTTGGATGGAACATCTACTATATATTGCCTGAGTGGATTTGACAGAGCAGACCAATTTCCCTAATCTGTGCTGGTGTTCACTTTTGAAACTATAATAGTGACTTTTTAAAAAATGTATTGGAATAAAAGGTTTTTTTGAGCACTTGTGAATTTTGTCTTGAGATTGATAGTTTGAATGAAATGTAAACATCATTTACATTTTTACCATCATCTAGAATGCATTGTCTTCAGAAATTCAGAAAGCCATCTTATAACAGCAACGCTGAAAGAATTAATAAAATATTTGGTTTTAATTTTAGGATTTAATTTTAGATATTAAATCATTGTGGCCTTTAGTTTATTGGTTTTAGCACATATGGCAGTATCTCAAACGCCAGATGGGTATAATATTTCCTGCAGAGGAGTCTGCATTGACAGTTCTTAGTAGCTTGTAGATTTATACTGGCACAGTATGTCCTTGTGCCCCCAAAGTGTTTTAAATGTGTGTTCTTAAGTATATGAAGAAGTGATATAGTAGACAGTGTGTTTTTTTCAATTGCAAATGCAATTTCCATGGTTGTCCACATATTGATAAAGACAAGCTTATAGGACATCGATGCATTGGAATCTAGGAGAGAGATGTGATGCTTCAGATGCAATTCTAAACAGATACTTCAGGGGATATAGCCATCTGTGCCCAGCAAAAGATACACATGCTTTAAAGAGTTGTAGATAAATACAATGTATGTGCCTCTAGGTATTCAAAGTAGTTTCTTTTAAAATCAGAACTGAATCTCTGTATAGTTCTAGAATCTAGTAACTCAGCTTTCCACTTCATTTATGAATATTCCACATGATTGTATCTTGAATTACTAAAGGAATGCTTTTATTAGTCCTGATAATTCTACACAGATTTTTAAAAAATAACAAAGTTTTCTCCTTCCTTACAGTATTGATTTTTTGCTTTGTGTATTTAAGTTCATAATGGGGAGATAGACTTTGAATGGAGAAAGGAGGGGGTGAATTTTACTATTCTGTTTCAATTTTCCTCATCACCTTTGACAGATTTCCCTAAAGCAGTTAGCACGGGCCTAATGTCCCCAGCGCTCTTGCTAGCATACAGCAGCAGGGAATTATGTTCCCACATTCTTCTTAAATAGCAAAGGATTTTTGCATTGCATGAGCTTTGTAGTAATCAGAAGCATGAACCTGTTCCAAAGCTCCGTATAACAGGAGATTTACCCCAGACCATTCCACTCATAGAATCATTAGAAAAGTTTTGTCATGTTGACTGAGAAAACAAACAGTGGGGTGTATGAACTAAACCATGCTCGTTTCACCAGCTCTGAAACTTTGAAGTAATTATATAAGATATTCCTAAGTCTTTTTTAGGAAGGGTCCATTGTGGCTGCTTCACTATTGGAAATTCAAATCTAACTGAATAAGCCCCATTACCCTATGTATTGCAGTTTGAAATTGTTAATTGTTCATTAGTTTAAACAGCAGGTAGAGTTAACCAGCATGTAGGGAATTGCCGCTTTAATTTTTTATGTGGCTTTAGCTAATGTGTCAGTATTAATAGAAAAAAATAATTTCAAGTAGCAGCAGATTTGTAAAGGAGATGTGAAAAACCCGTTATTTATTATCTAGAATTTATCTGTTATTAGTTCTAGCATTGTAGCCAATCCAATGCTAAAGCAGGATTTAATTCTTATTTATTAGATTTATATCCCACCTTTATTTTGTACAAGTCAAGGTAGCATGAGGTGCACACTATTCTCTCCTCCTATTTTCCTCACAACAACAACCTTATGTAGTGGCCTGAGTAAGAGTGACTGTTCAAAAATTAATCCAGTTGATTTTTGTGCCTAGCAGGAGACTAGAACTCATAGTTTTCCAGTTTCTAGCCCAGCACTACATTAAACTGATTCTCAGATTTTAAATGAATTTAAATTTCTTAAGATAAAAAAATATATTAAAAAACCCATTTGATATAGGAAAATCATGCCATCCTATATCCCACATTTCTTCTGTATATACCGGTAGTTACAAAATTGGCAGACATTTTTAAACAATAAAATAAAATTGGAGCTTTTCTTGTACTTTTCAGAATAGTAATTTCTAATACTATTTTCCAGTTGCTTTTTTAGTTTTGTTTAGAAAAATCAATTTTGTATAATTTAGTTTGCTTCTAGATAGATATATGTTTGGATATGTAATATACAAAAGTATAATTTATTCAGGCAATACTCAGTTTTGGATTGAATTTACTTTAAATTAGTAAATTTAGTCTCAGTTTCTGTTACAGAGAGACTACAAACTAATGAAACCTAAATAATGCAAGAAAATAGTTAACAAAAAAAAGTTAACAAAAAGAGTAAGCCATCAACACTGAAATACTTTATATTAAAGCAATTTTTGCCCTTCACTGTATTTTGTTACTGCGTTGCTTTTCAGAAAAAGAGAATTAAGAAGAATCAGAGAACACGTTTGCCATGTGAAATATTGTAAATCTAAAAGACTATCAGTATCCACAGTTCTTTCTTCCACCTTTTGCTTTAACCATTTTCATGGATTTTTGAAAAAAGAAGACTTGTCTGCATTTATTTAATCTTTCAGAGCATGGTTTTCAAACGGTGTTCCATGGAACTATGGTGTCCCATGAGAGTTTGACAAGATTCTGTGAGAGATTAAAGAATCAAAAAGTTACTTACGTCAATTCAGCCAAATTTGGTCACCAGTCCATTGACTCTTGATCAAGGGTTATGAGAGATTTTATTTTTAAATTATAGCTTCTGCCTCCTGAAAAAAATTGAAAATGCCTCAGTTAGGGGTCAGAGGGTTTTTTTGTATAAATGTTTGTAAACACAGATTAATTTCTTTCGTACCTTGTCATTTTATTATATAGTTTAAAAGATACTAGGAAGTATTTGTAATCCAGTTTTTTAAAAAATGAATTTTTAAATTAAATTGATTGGGAATATCTTTTTAGTTTCTTCCCTTCCTGTCTTTACATCTAATGCCATTTAAATGAAAAATAAGACTTGCAGAAAATCTCCCCTTCATTCACTTCGGATCATATTTGCTGAAAAAGTCCGCTGGATTACTTGACCACTGTAATCTTAGTGTGTCGGGTATAGGTTTAAAGAACTAAGAACTTCATATTTCAAAAGTTAGAATGCGATTTTTATCATAAGAACACTTTCTGATAATTTATTCTTGAGCTACTATTGGGTTTACCTTTTTATTTGGGAGGTAAACTGTTTGAATTGTTTTACATCCTCTGACTTTGCATAAAAGCAACATGTTCTCATTCTGTGTGTGTATGTGGTAATGTCTATTTATCAATCAACTTTTGTTTCCAGTTTTAAAAATAACAGTTTATTGGAAGAGATTTCTTTTCCCAAACGCGAACTTCCTTTCTCATTTTTGCAAAATAAGTTCAAAGGCTTGAGGAGATTTGTGTAACATTTTGACAGGAGAATAGAAACACAGCTAATGGGAAGGAGTATCATATGGTACTCCAATTGTGCAACTAGCTGTTTGGATTCTTTGAAGGTTTATAGTATACTGGGTTCAAATCACAATAAATTATCTGTTAGTCTAAAAGCCTACTGCAAACAGTGAAAAGTAGTAGGCATTGTCACACAATAATAATTGGAATTAAGTATATAGACAACTAATGGAAAAAATATTCTTGCAAATTTACTGAGTTAATGTTGATGAAATATCTGACTACTTTTGGATAATTCATATTTTTGCTTTATCTCTTTAGCTTGACAAAGATGATATGGTATATATGGAGGCATATGACAAGCTCTTGGAATCATGGCTTACCTTGGTACAAGATGATAAACATTTCCACAAAGGCTTCTTTACTCAGCACGCTGTTCAGGTTTTTAATTCTTACATCCAGTGCCACTTAGCTGCTCCTGATGGCACAAGGAATTTGGTAAGTTCTAGAGGCAGTTATGAAAATCTTGATATGTGGAATAATTTAAAAGTTGATTTATTCAAATATAAAGATGAATAAGGTATTGACCAAGATTAAACAATCATGCTAAACCTTTGGTGGGGTGGGGGGGTGTTGAGAGAGAGAGAGAGGGAGGGAGAGAAATGTAGTTTTCTTCCCCCCCGCACCCCCGGATTTTGCTATCTGTTCAGTGGAAGTAAATGTATTTATCTTTACAGTACTACACAATAGGTTTCAAATACAGTAATTTCTATTTAAAATATCTTTAAAAATGTCAAAAACAAAGTGACAAGTCTAATGAAATAATAATCACAATGGGATAATTAAAATTTTAATTAAAATTTAATTTTTCAGAATAATGCAGAAATCCAAACCCATCCCCCTTTCATACTGACTCTTCCAGTTTTCTTGATTTGTTACGTATAGTCTGAGAAACCAGAGTTTAGCTGTATTGGTATAATTATCACTATTTATCTATCAGTCTTGGATTATTGAAATAGGATTTAATGATAATTCAAACATTCCTTTGAGCATGGAGAACACTTACTGATGATTGATGATTCTAAGTCCTCAGTGACTAGGTTGATGCCAAAGTGCCAGCCAATACATTTCATAATTAAGGCCTTTGAGTTTGTGACTAGATAATTCCAGCATAATTTGTTTGTGCAGATAATTCATTAATTTCTCTGTGATAAGTTCATCTCCATGCCTGTTTACTTAGAAGCCACAGCTGACAATACAAAAACTTCTGATTTCTTCAATATCAAAGCAGCAACTAATGTTTTCCAAACAAGAAGCACTTTCCATAGACAGCTGTGGCATTGCAGCTATTAAGAACATTATTGGGTGGTGGGATCAAGGGAAGAGGATTGAGAGAGCCTCTTAAAAGATGAAAGCATGGCTTGGTTCTAGTTTCCAGTATTCTTGCTAAGATATCTGCAATGATTTTAGATGGGATTTCAAGATGTGTTTTTTTTTCTGCTGTGGAAAAAAAAAACTAATTTACCCCAGTTGAAAAATACGGTAATTGTGAATTGATAATTAAAAATAATTACATACTCTTGGTTCTGTTTTGCAGTAATCAGCTTCATTATTAAAATCTAATGCATTCAACAAAGCACAATACTGTTTTGTGTATGTTACTGCAGAGTGCTATTGCAGGAGTCTTGGTTAATGTTAACAGATTCTTGGTTAATGGCCATATTTGGAAAGCTAGGAGTACGTGGTAGTGCCAGGACTACCATGGTAGAGGCGTGCCTATTTAAAGTACAACTGCCACAAATCAGCGAGTTCTGGAGGATGACAGGGGATAAGTCTGAGGACCTGTTAAATTGGAGTGTTAGTGCTACTGTTGATGATAATTATATGCCCTCAAGTATATCATGAAATGGAAGTGTAAATCTTATTTTTGAGCACTGGAATGATAAAATCACGAGCATTTATGTCCTCTGCCATTTCAGTGACTGGCTCAGTTTCTGCAAATCCTTAAGTCCCTAAAGAAGCTGTATTTCCAAGCTGTATTTTTACAGCAGGGGTATCGTACTTGTGGCCTGCGGGCAGGATGCATCACAGCTGGCCATGACCATGCCTGGTTTAGCAAAGGGGAAAGAAGTCATGATATGTCACGTGACTATGCCGTGACAACGCAAGTTTGACACCAGAATTGTAAATGAATCAAATATTAGCAGCCTCCCCTGTCATATGTAGTTCCCTCATTAGCAGTTGGTCTGAAAATCTACTTTGGGCATTCTATGGAACTCATCATAGTTTGCTTCTCACTTGGGTTTGGAAGGAAGCAGTGAGCAGACTTTGTAAGTTTGATAACAAAATAGCAGTGGTGAGCAAAGAAAGAAATGGTTTGTTACAAAGGAGGTTAAAATTTGACCTCTTGGATGTTGTGCATTTAAAAAAGAAGAACCTCTAGTTCCACTTCAAGTACAGGTTTTCTTCAAGGTAAGACCTTAAATGGAGCCTGCCCATTAGGGATGTAAGTCAAATGACTGTTACAAAATGAATTGGACTTATTTTTACAACATTTTTATGGCACTTGTTAAGTGAATCCATTTAGTCGATGTATGAACAAAAATCAGGGTTGCTGTTTGCTTAAGTTCATTAATTGACCTCTGTCATTATTAAGTGAACAAAGAGAATTTGCAGGGCTCCCCTGCAAAACACTGTTGCTCACCCATCAGACATCCATGTGCCTCAGAGCTGCAGTGACTCCAGGCATGTGCCCAGATTTAAACTGGGGTGTGTGGGGGTGGATAAATTTTGAGAACACTGAAAAGAACCTCCAGCGGGAATCACTGCTGCCTGCCCCATCAGCTGCTCTTCAAGCTCTCTACAGTAGTACAGACTAATCCTCAAAGCAAAAGCAAACAAACACAGTACATTAGAATTTCTGCAAGCAATCTCAAACTACACGCAAACCAATAGTACACAGAAGGCAAAGGAGCTTTACAGAACTAAAGGTGCTCCCTGAAGATGCCGGCTAATATTTCTGCTAGCAATTCCAAAATAATAATAAAAGTTTGTAAAACGTATTTACAAACAAAAATCATAACTACAATGAAAAAGAAAATTTTAAAATACCTAACAAGGCAACTATAGTACTCTATTTGTTAAGGCAACAGCAATGAAAGAAGCAAGAGGGGCAGCAATGAGAGATTCACTCCTGTAGTCCTCCATCTGGCAGCAGTGAGGAGGAAAAAAAAAGTAAGCACCTGCCACAAAGACCTTGGACCTTGATTGGTCATGTGACCAGGGGGAAAAAAAGTGCCAATCATATGGGCCTCAGAAATCGCCTGTTGTAACTCTGGGTGACCAGGGCAGACAGGACTAAAAATGGCCACTGCCTCAGGAGTGACTGAATCCAGGTGACATGATTCCAGAAGCTTCTTTTTGGTTGTAATTTCAAACCCATGCCTTAAGTCCACTTTTGGAGGGCATTCGTAACTTCAAACAGTCATTAAATGGCCTTTCGTACCTCAAGACTACCTATAATTAATAAATGTATGGGTGATTTCCTAAGGGTTCAGAAAAAAATAACAATTCTTAAAACAGCATAGCTTATGATTTTGGTACTTGTGTTCACTGTAAATCTTTGATCTGTTTCTGCTGCTGCTCTCTTTATTGCATGCTCTTCAGAATTTTTTTTGTAGTTTATTAAATTGATGCTTTGTGAAACAACTTTAAAAATATTTTCAGGCATTTAATAAATAGTTGTAGAAAACTAATGTACGGAATTCCTCTTTCTAGATCTGATGTGTACAATTTTATCAATTTGCTTACCAGAACATAGTGATTGGGTTTAGAAATCATACTAAGCCGTAGCTTGCTGCACAAGCCATTGAATCCTTATGTACACTTTTCCTACCAGCCTTAAAATGCATAGAGAATGATATCTCCTTGTCGAATCACCAAAGATGGATGATACATTTCCTCAAGATTAATGGACAGATCAAAAATTGAAGTACCTGAAGAGGCTGCAATGTGCCTCTCCCTGTCCTGTTTGAGTTTGAAACAGTAGCTGTGGCTGGGAGCACAGCAGAGCACTGTGAGACCAAAAGTTGCATGTAGTAAAACTTGATATTATGAATATCAAAGTCTGTTAAATATTTATATCCCTCCCTCTAAATTAGATTTATTTTCTTGATCTGCCATTGGATAAGCTCACTATCATAGCTTTACTGGTGGTTTTGTGTGCAAGCCCAACTGCCGCATAGTAGCCCCACCTACGAAATTAACATCCCAGAATCCAAAAGCAGGTGGGTTTCTGTGGCCATGGAGGGGCAAAGCCTAAGGACATTATTTCCTGGTGTCAGATATTGGAGCTCTCCTTAAGTGATGGGGGGGAATCCAGCTAAGCTTTTGAGGGGGACTTCTGCAGATTTCCAAAGTCAAGGTTTGCAGATATTTACTTGCAGGGTTCCTAAAACTGTACAAGTGTGATGCTTTACAGCCAATCCAGAGCACAGAGGTTTAGTGACATTTAAAAAAACAGTCTGAGGCAGGGGTCAAATTGGCAGTCCGCTGGCCAGATGCATCATGTGTAGACCATCCCCAACCCAGCTCCGTGAATGGGAAAAACATTGCGAAATGTCACATGATAGCAACGTGACATGGTGAGTTTGACAGCCCTGATCTAAGATCTTCTTTTGTTTCTGTACTGCAAATGTAGTCCTCTTCATTGTCCCTTTTTCCTTGGGTTTCACCCCTTGGAATCCCAGAAGGTAATTTGGGGGAAGGGAAAACTGAAAAAAGGGTTATTTCCTCTAGGTCTCAACTTATCTAGCCTACCATTAACCACCATACAATGTTGAATTAATTCTTCCAAGATCTAGGGTGTGCCTTGTCATACTAATTAATCTAACTAATCTTAATAGGAGAGACCAGCTTAATGCTGGTTGATTGGAGGAAAATCATTGAAGCACATCCTCCTAGCACAAACAGCTGAAAATATGCGTAGTCAAATATGTGTAGTCAAGTATTTGGCATTTCCCAGGTCACAATTTATTAATCTCCCAATTGGTGATTACTCTCCAGTTGGAATTATCAAAATCAGCTCTGAACATCTACATAAAAAGTTAATAGGTATCTCATACAGTATGTTGATTTCAATGAGTAGTACTGCCCATCTGCCTGCTCTTATTTTCAAATGCCCCCTTGGTCTGGTCTGTAGGGAATTCTGCCCAGCTAAACTGAATAGGGAAAGTAAGGAATTGGTTTTGTCTCCTCCCTCTCTAACAACCTCTTTGGCAAATTTGCATAGGGACAGAAAATAAGTGTCTGCATAGCAGCCTGTGCAAACTGCTCCTTGTAAATCCTTGCCAAAAAACTGCATTAACTGCACTGTAGCATTATGCAAACTTGTGATCTGTAGCTCCTGAATTTGCTCTAATGGAGCACCTCTGCCACTTGTTCTGTCAGTGAGGCACCTTGAGGACAGAATTCATGTCTAGATCCTCAACACTGGACCACATCCTTTTTAATGGAAGAAATTAAGGGAGCTTTCAAATTTAATGTCAAACATGTGAAGTTGATGAGCATAGAAAGCAAAAACCACTTATATTTCTGGAAAGAAATTGCTACTAATGTAATGGAATTCTAAAAGCCTACGAAACTGATTTTCCTGCATGACCTATATGTAGTATAATTAGGTTATTCTGAATCTTTTTCTCACGCTTCCCTCTTTCCTGGATTCTATAATACCTTCTGTAATAATCCTGTTTCCTCCCCTAACTCTTTTGCTCGGTGCTCTGTGTTCTCGTGGTTTGTTGGTTGTTAGTTCCACCACAGAGATTCTCCTATGCAACCTCTTGGTTCCAAATGCTGTAAAATGTTTGGAGAATTGATGCTTGTAATAATATTAGAAGCAAAAGGCTCCCATTTTTTGAAAATTGAATTAAGCAGATCTCCCCCTACGCCCCATCCCAAATATATAGTTGAGCCGAATTTCAACTTTGATTTTACAAAGCAAAATGAACATGAACTAGGACCTTCAGCTATAATAAGTAGGAAGAAAGCTTGATATTTCAGGACTGTCAACATAAGTTTCTATGTAACTTCAGAATTTTCTTCCACAAAATATGAGGGCCAACTGGGGGAAGCTTCATGGAGGAGAAGGTCCTAGTTTACCCTACTTTTAGTTACTATGGCTGTTTATTATCTCTCATCTCTTAAACAGTATGTATGCTGATTATTAAGAAACATGATCAGAAGAATTTTCCACAGATAGCTGATTTTCCCCTATGGGATTGGAATGCTGAATTGGGTGTGCTTTTGGTCCTATCCAATAAAGCGCTCCTGTGTTTTTGATATTACAAAGAAGAAACATGCAGTAGCTGCAAATCCACAGTATATATTTTTCTACATTTGTACTTTTTCCACCTTGAATAACATCTGGACATATTACCTTATGTTTGCTTATGATGGGTCAGTTTTTAATCTATTTTATTTGAAATATTAACACATTCTAGAAAATCAGTTTTTACAACGTGACAGGCTTGCATTTTCTTTTCAATTCAGACTGCCAATGGTGTGGCTTCCAGGGAGGAGGAGGAAATAAGTGAGCTGCAGGAGGATGACAGAGAACAATTTTCTGATCAGCTGGCCAGCATAGGCATGTTAGGAAGAATTGCTGCTGAACACTGTATACCTCTTCTTATCAGGTATAACTCAAGTCATTTGTATCCTTTGACATCGCTTTTGCTGTTTTCATTCATTGCATCTTCATTGTGGAAAAAGTAATAACCTTGTTTAATGTTTCCCTTCAGTTTGTTAGAAGACAGAGTGACAAGGCTTCATGGCCAGTTACAAAGGCATCAGCAATTAATAAGTTCAGCTGGATCAAGCTCTATTGACAATAAAATGCTTGATGACTTGTATGAGGATATTCATTGGCTTATTCTAGTCACAGGTGAGTAGAGATTTCTGCACGCAGGCAACTGAGACCATTCCATTAGAAATGGAAGTTCCTTTGTCAAATCTATTACAAATTAGCTCTTCTGTCAATTAGTGTATGTGTAGTTTACTTACATAGATGCACCCTTATTTTCACAACTCTCAAGTCAGGAAAAATGGCCTTATTAGAGTGTAGTGGTTTTCTTTAGCACATAGCAAAAAACCAAAACAAACAAAACAAAAACCCCAAAATCAGATTTGGAGATTAGGTACAAGGATCTTAGTCTTCTGGTTTGTTTTCATTGAAAAAGAAGGAAAATGCAGCACCATTCAGCAATATATTGGGATTTTTGTTGATAAGGGAGAGCAGTTTCTATAGCCATGATTTTTTTCTTATTATTTTGGCCAAGTTGGAATATTATTCAAGCAGAAACAGGAACAATTTTACCTGACATCATTGAGTTGTGGTTTCCAGTTGTCCAGTATGGCTCAGTGAATCAAATTACTAGCTTCCTTACTCTTCAATCCCTTCCATCAAAAACCCAAAGTTACAACTTTGGAAAGATAGTCTAATTATTTTATTGTATTTGAGAGCAATTGCTTGTTCCTTGAATGGGGATTGCTGTATTTAGGAAGGATTAGCATTGGTATATACAATGCAGGAAACCTTAACATTTTGTTCAAGGCCTACAGAATAGGAAAAGATAAATGATGACAGTTTAGAAAAAGTCCAGCTAAACTGGACTTGAGGAGATGGCTATTATGAATTAGCCCAGGCATCATTTATTTATTTATCAAATTTCTACGCCACCCATATCTCACTTAGGTGACTGGGCGACTTACAAACATCATAAAATGATATAAAAACATAACTAAAAGCTTAATGCAAAATTAAAAGCAAGGTTAATATTTACAAGTTAATTTTTTTAAAAAAAAACTTAAGAAATTAGGAAGGCTACAGTATATTTGCTGTATTCCATTACTACAGCCAAATTTCTTTTCATCATTGACGTAGCCTCCTAGATTCTTTACACTAGTATCTGCATGAAAAATGGAAGGAAGCACAGATAGGGAGAGGTTTAAATGTATCACATGCTGTTGAGGACCCAGTAGTTATAGGCCAGGGGTGTCAAACTCGCATTGTCACGGCAGCGTTACATGACGTATCGGGACTTTTTCCCCCTTGGCTAAACAAGACAGGCCCGGGGCCAGCTCATGACGCATCTGGCCTGCAGGCCGCAAGTTTGACACCCCTGTTACAGACTATACAGGAAAGAAGTATCTTGAAACAGCATCTAATGATCTCCTTCAGTTGCCTGGGAAACAAGGGTCGTGTGAGCCCTGAAGGCCAAATTGCCTCTTAATCTTTTGGCCTCCAAGAATAAGACCTTCATCCTATTATAAACTGCTTTTCCATTAATCAGCACAAAACCCCTCATATTTTGGCTCAGCATTTAATTCAGTTGCAACGTGTGTCAATACTTTGTACTAAAAAGAGAACTACTAACCGAATTACCATAGGGATAAATGGAAAGGCCATCAGTTACAGAGAGAAAATAAAATGTGCAGGCATAGAAATATTTGACTTGGTAATAGTATATACAACTTTTTTTTGAAATTATAGTTGATTATAAAATATGAATATGAATCAAAAGTGTGTAATGGTTTATGGAATACAAATACGCCTCCCAAATCTTCGAACAGTTTTGCTTTGCTCTGCAATGGGCAAACTTGAGGTACTTTGTCCAGTTCTGAGCATTAACATTTTTAAAGGATTCAGTCAAACTGGAACCCGTACAAAGAAGACAGTAAGGATGACCTGAGGCTTGGAAATTCAATTCCGTGAGGAAAAAAAATGCTTGCATGTGGAGAAGATAATAATTGAGGAGAGTCATGATGACATTCTCCAAAAAATACAAGAAGTTTTGTTTGGTGTCATTCCAGAATGCAGGGCAGAATAATAGATTTGACTTTTAGGAAGACCAATTCCAACTGAATTTTATTAAAAAAAATATCCAAACAGTAAGAAATGTTTCAGAGCAGAACTGATTTTTGAGATGGGATGGATTCCTTTTTGTTGGATGCATTCAAATAGAAGACAGCCATCTGTCTGGGATGCATTAATTAGGATTATTGCACTGTGCACAGGATTGAACTTGGTAGTCTAAATAATCTCCATTGTCATATAATTTTATTTCTATTATTTATTTTATCATCTTGTTTGGAACATACAGGCACATTCCTGTGCAGATATCTTAACAGCTGATGTTTCCATAAGATGATATCTCAGATGTGTGTATGTGTTCCAAACTGATGTTAAAACAATAGTCCTGTTTTACTGACATATTGGTTCACAAATACACAAGCGAAGACTTTTTATTGAGGTTTTATGGAAATGATGGTATTAATTCACATGCTATGATGTTCCATTCATGTACCTTTTGGCAAATAAAATTCTTCTTTTTGAGAGCCCTAATGGCCTTCAGGTGCTACTATTCTGATGATACTGCATGCTAATGCATTGGGGGATTAGAAGCACTCCAGCCATTTCCACTCTGGTGTATCTCAGGGTGTGACTATTGGGAAGATAAAGCCTGCTATTTATACACTGCCCAAAAAAATAAAGGGAATACAAAAATAAGACATCCTAGATCTGAATGAATGAAATATTCTTATTAAATACTTTGTTCATTACATAGTTGAATGTGCTGACAACAAAATCACACAAAAATTATCAATGGAAATCAAATTTAACAACCCATGGAGGTCTGAATTTGGAGTTAAACTCAAAATTAAAGTGGAAAAAAACACTACAGGCTGATCCAACTTTGATGTAATGCTCTTAAAACAAGTCAAAATGAGGCTCAGTAGTGTCTGTGGCCTCCATGTACCTGTATGACCTCCCTATGATGCCTGGGCATGCTCCTGAAGGATCTCTTCCCACACCTGGATTAAAGCATCCCCCAACTCCTGGACAATCTGTGGTGCAACGTGGCGTTGGTGGATGGAGTGAGAAATGTTCCAGATGTGCTCAATTGGATTCAGGTCTGGGGAATGGGCGGGCCAGTCCATAGCATCAATGCCTTCATCTTGAAGGAACTGCTGACACACTCCAGCCACATGAGGTCTAGCATTGTCTTGCATTAGGAGGAACCCAGGGCCAACCGCACCAGCATATGGTCTCACAAGGGGTCTGAGGATCTCATCTCGGTACCTAATGGCAGTCAGGCTATCTCTGGCGAGCACATGGAGGGCTGTGCGGCCCCCTAAAGAAATGTCACCCCACACCATTACTGACCCACTGTCAAACCAGCCATGCTGGAGGATGTTGCAGGCAGCAGAACATTCTCCACGGCGTCTCCAGACCCTGTCATGTCTGTCACATGTGCTCAGTGTGAACCTGCTTTCATCTGTGAAGAGCACAGGGCGCCAGTGGCAAATTTGCCAATCTTGGTGTTCTCTGGCAAATGCCAAACGTCCTGCACGGTGTTGGGCTATAAGCACAACCCCCACCTGTGGACGTCGGGCCCTCATACCACCCTCATGGAATCTGTTTCTGACCATTTGAGCAGCCACATGCACATTTGTGTCCTGCTGGAGGTCATTTTGCAGGGCTCTGGCAGTGTTCCTCCTGTCCCTCCTTGCACAAAGGCAGAGGTAGCGGTCCTGATGCTGGGTTGTTGCCCTCCTACGGCCTCCTTCACGTCTCCTGATGTACTGTCTCCTGGTAGCGCCTCCATGCTCTTGACACTACGCTGACAGACACAGCAAACCTTGTCACAGCTCGCATTGATGTACTGTCCTGGATGAACTGCACTACCTGAGCCACTTGTGTGGGTTGTAGACTTTGTCTCATGCTACCACTAGAGTGAAAGCACCGCCAGCATTCAAAAGTGACCAAACCATCAGCCAGAAAGCATAGGAACTGAGAAGTGGTCTGTGGTCACCACCTGCAGAACCACTCCTTTATTGGGGATGTCTTGCTAACTGCCTATGCTTTCCACCTATTGTCTATTCCATTTGCACAACAGCATGTGAAATTGATTGTCAATCAGTGTTGCTACCTAAGTGGACAGTTTGATTTCACAGAAGTGTGATTGACTTGGAGTTACATTGTGTTGTTTAAGTGTTCCCTTTATTTTTTTTAGCAGTGTATATTATATTGCAAAATAAGAAGAGGTCTACTGCCTCTGGAGGAACAGACATTGCAGGCTTCATGCAGATCCATGGAAGGAGGAACAATAAAATTATTCATGTCTCCCCTCGATACATTATTTTGATCTTGAAATTTGTGTATTTCACAATCTCACTCCTTCCTCTGCATTCTTAACTATTATATATTTCCCCCCCCCCAAGGAGTTAATTGGTTAGAGCTGTCACTATTACAGGAATTTTTGAAAAGGTTCCGTCTAGCCTAGGCTGCAAATGCAAAAGATTCTTAAAAAGTAGCAGTGACATGATGGCCAAGATGGGAGATGGATTATTCAAAAATTATATTTGTTGTGGGATTTAAGGTGAATTTAGTTTTATTTGCTTTCTCCCTAGTAATTGTAGCTGCTTGTAGACTTTATTTTGACTTGTAGAAATCCAATACAAAACTAACTGAATTATGTAACATAAATGTAAGTTTTTATTTAAGCATATCATAGAATTTAGTTAAATATTGATGCCAATTCTCTCAGCATCTGTTTGATGGCCCTTAAAGCAGTATTTAATTTAGGCTAGGTAACCTGAGGTCACTACTTTCTTTTTTTTGTTTGTTTGCTTTTAATTTTAAGGCTACCTCTTAGCTAATGATACTCAGGGAGAGACTCCGCTAATACCTCCAGAAATAATGGAGTATTCCATTAAGCATTCAACTGAGGTTGACATCAATACAACGCTTCAAATTCTTGGATCTCCAGGAGAAAAGGCCTCTTCCATTCCAGGGTACAACAGAACCGATTCTGTTATTAGGTAATTTATTTAGTATTTTAATGCCAAATATTGAACCGTAAATCAGAAGTAGATAGGGCTATCATTGTAAATTATTAATCCATGATAACAATGTGAATGTCAGAACTGGTGAAAGAAAGTAGGCTTTCTGTAGAATTAAGTGTAGTGACCTAATATTGATGATTGAGGAAAAAACTTTAATAGTTAAGGCTTTTTGCTATAAGCAAACAATATGATGCACTGTGTTAAAAGTGGGATTTGCGGGGGAGGGGTTTGGTGCAAAATAACATAAACATCACTTTTGGAAGACTGTGTGCCAGACAAAGGAATTACATTGCTTATTAATGAAAATGAAATGAGTTGTTGTGAACATGTTTACAGGCATGTGACATGGGTGCATCTTTAAATCAAAATAAATAACTTATAGCAAGGCAGAAATGACTTTTCAGAATGTGTTTGCCAAAACATATATTCAGTTTTGTAAGCCAGTATGAAGTCACAAAATGCTTTCTAAATCACTAAAATTAACAATCTTAAATACTTTGTTGGTCTGGGTAAAAATTCAGAGACTTTGAGGAGAATGTGTTAAAGAATTTTACTCTGTTAAAAGAGGAACACCTGTTTCTAACATCTCTCAATAAGGAAGCATAGTACATTGAATTAAATTTTTAGCATCCATCTATTTTGAAAACTTTTGTTTTATAAGAGGAAAACAGTATCTTTATTAATATGCATATGGTCTCTATTGTTTGCTGCAATAAAACTGCTACACTTGAGGCCATATATGGTCTGTAATGTTGTAAGTGTTGGCAGCAATAAATATTTTCTGCAGATTTCAAGATCAAGTTTCTAAAAATAAGGAGAGAAGGACGTAGAACTCTTAAATTTTAAGGAAATGGCAATAAATATTTTGACTGTTTAAAAAGATAAATTTCAGCCAGTATACCACAGACTTCAGCATTTCCAGAATACTTATAAAGTTTTCATACCAGGATAGCAGGTTTTTCAGCAGTTCCTTCATGCTTAGAGGAATTGACTAAATAGAAGATATATGGTGGTTGCTACAGAGACATCTTGTAGTGATACTAAGAATAAAATTTCTGAGGTATCAGACTATCAGCCCAGCACTGCCTTCTATTGGTTAAAGCTCCCCAGGTATGTGAGTTAAAAGTCTATCACATCTGGGCTGCCTTGGAGCATTTAAACGGTTAATTTAAATGATCATTAATTTGCGGTTTCTTTTTGGGGAACTGTATGTGTTGCCATTGAATGGTGGCATCACTTTCCCTCTTTCCTCCAAGATACTTATTGTCCTCTGAAGAGACTGTTTTCTTTAACATGCTCCTTCACAGATTAAATCAACGCTGTGTCTTGGAAAACTTCGGCAATATTAAACTAGACTTGGGCTGAAGAATAATACTATTAATTGATATAAAATCTCAATAAAACTTTCAAATACTCTAAGCAGGCTTGTTGTATTAAGAGAATTAGTTCTTCCTGCAACAATAGCCTGAGATTTCCAAATTAAAGATTGAGGATTTTCATACTAGCCTCTAAAGTAAAGAATAGGCAGTATATGCTGTTGTTCAGTGGTGAAAGAGTGAATATGTGGAAAACTTAATGTTTTCTGCTGATAGAAATGGTGACGCTGATCGTGTCACTCAGTTATTTCCCAAAACCTTGAAAAAAAAGGTTTCATGTGTTTAAGCATAAATCAACATCAGTGATTGCTAGGTGGAAATCACGGTATCTTCAATTTTCTTCAGGTTATTGTCTTCTGTTCTAAGAGTTTCGGAAGTGGAGTCTCGAGCAATAAGAGCAGATCTTACGCACCTTCTGAGCCCGCAAATGGGAAAAGATATTGTGTGGTTCCTCAAACGGTGGGCAAAAACCTATCTCCTCGTAGATGAAAAGCTTTATGACCAGGTAAAACAATTTTAAACTTGTGGACATTTTTACATTTAATTTCAAATTATCAACAGCATGAATTCCAAGATTTTGTAACAAGCCGCATGAGCTTCATTGCAATACTTAAGTAAGTATGATCTGATCTAAATGTATAATGAGTTCTTTATAAATAATAAATAAAGATGTTCCTTATAAATAATAAAGAAGCTTTAGAATAGTTTTTAGGGAATTTATATATGGGAAGAAGCATTCAAAATAGCACACCATTTTTATGATCTAAAATGATAATCTCCCCTCTCAGCTGCTTCTGCTGCATGTGTGGGCCACCTATATTCCTCTAACATTAATAGGTGCATGCATGCGGAAACATCATAATGCAGCTGCTCCCACCCTTTGGGTACCAAGGACCAGTTCCATGAAGTACGGTTTTTCTGTGGACTGGGGAGAGGGAGCATGGTTTTATATGCTGCCTGGATACCGTGCTTGCATGGATGGGGCTTCACTCACTTGCATGGCCCAGTTCCTGGCGGGCTCGAAGTGGTGCTGGTCTCTGATCTGGGGATTGGGGACTCCTGCCATAATGAATCTGTCTATTAAATCTATTTGTGCCTTCAATTACGTTATTTCTAAGGCATTTTTGAACAAAACCGATACGTATTTTTAACTGACAATAAACAAAAGAAAGCTAAGGAGTCAGACAATGTTCTTATCAATACACCGAACTACATTCTGTGGCATTCATAAATATTAATGGGTTTTTTTGTAGATAAGCTTGCCATTCAACACTGCGTTTGGTGCTGACACTGAGGGTGCCCAATGGATTGTGGGATACCTTTTAGAAAAAGTACTCAGCAATCTTGCAGTATGGAGTTCTGAGCAAGAACTTGCCAATGACACTGTGCAGCTACTGGTAACTTTGGTAGAAAGGAGAGAGAGGTAAGCCTAAAAGTTATGCTCCTAGATGAAAAAATAAAGATTTTTCTAAGAATCCCATGAGAATTTCTGGACCAAACCAGATGTTAGTAGACTCTGTGAACATATAAATAGTAGCTGTGAGAAATATTAGTAGTGCTGAAACAACTGCCTGGTGCCATCTATCTGGAAGGCAGATAGATGACATATTTTTATGTTTATTTTTCATTGGTTGGTGTGTTAAATACAAAGTAGACATGTCAAACTTAATAAAGAGTTTAAAATTCCAAACTTGTATCTTTTGAGGACAGATCACATAACCAGCATGTATCTGGGCTACATTCACAATATAGATTGCTTGCCCATGAAAAGTATGTTGTGAAGATTCATGTTTGAACTACTTCAAAAGAGTTTTAGGCATGTGTTGAGGAAAATGGGAAGAGATTAAAATGGTTGGAAGTGTTCTTACTATCCAATAAGTTCACAAGCAAAATGATACTATTTGAACGAACTAATTGGGGGTGGATTTCCAATCATAAGTCATTACAGTTATAAGTTGAGATCCCACCTGACTAGACCTAATTTTACAACATTTTTTGCAGTGGTCATTAAGCAAATACCACAGTCATAAGAGCAACCCATTTTCCAAAACCGGCACTTGTTCCAGGCTCCTTGTAATTTCAAATGATCTTTAAAAGGCAGGTCATAAGTTAAGGACAATCTTACTTAGGGACTGGAACTCAAACTTAATTTTCAAAATGATTCTTTCTAGAAGCTTGTTGAATCTAGTGCCAAGCTACTATTATTAAGATACCATACTTATTTCCAAGGCATGGAACATGATTCTGATAACTGTTTCTGATTTGATCAACACCAAGAATTAAAAATTTGCCAAGCCTCAGTTTTACTGCTAATCTCTTCGAGAACTGATTGCTTCATATTATTAAATAGAATTGGCAGGTCCAAGGCTTATTTCTAAAATTCCCTTTAGCTTGTGCTTATGTATAAATACATATAAAACATCTGCTATAGCCAGTTCAGGTTTAAGTGAGTTCCCAAAAGAAGAATATTGTCATTAAGACATAAATTATTTTTGTCCTGTTTCTACTCATGAACAAAACAAAGGGGAATAATTCTTTGGACAACACTTATTCTATTGCCAGTGACATACTATGTTATTAGATAAATATTTGTTTGTTAAGAATCTGTTTAAAAAATTTATCTGGAAGAAAGCGGGTTTTATTTAACTGTTGCAGGCTATTGCATTGTTATTTATTGTGTTTCAATGTTTTTCTGCAAGGGCAAATTTAGTAATTCAGTGTGAAAACTGGTGGAACTTAGCAAAACAATTTGCCAGACGGAATCCCCCTCTTCATTTTCTATCCAGTTCAGTGCAACGTACATTAATGAAAGCCTTAGTTCTTGGGGGGTTTGCTCATATGGATGGAGATACCAAACAGCAGTACTGGACAGAAGTAAGTGCAATCTCTGCTTCAAAATTTGGGATGAGTGATATCAGAAAGTCAGAGTTTGGCATTCAGTAGTCTTGATTTGTTTTCCTTGTTGACTTAAAAAAATTCTTTATTTTGTATGAGAAAAGTTAGAGCATCAATTACCCACTAGTGTTATATTATTTGGGAGTGTGTGCATACCTTTAAGTCAGTTTTTGAGTCTAGATGACTGCCTGAACTTATCCTTACAGTTTTCTTGACAAGGTTTTCCAGAAGTAGTTTTCCATTGCCTTCTTTCTAGGGCTGAGAGAGAACGACTGGCCCAATATCACCCAGCTGCCTTTGGGCCTAATGCAGTCCTGGTTTCTAGCCTGATACCTTAACCCAGGGGTCCCCAACCACCGGGCCCCGGACTGGTACCGGTCCGTGGATCATTTTGTACCGGGTCGCAAAGAATGAATAATCGTGATTAAAATATATATTAAAATGGCGGCTTTCTTCGCCTTCGGTGAATGCTGCTGGGATCAGGGATCAAGAACACAAAGGAAAGAAGGGGAGGGAGGAAGGAAGTGTTTCAGATCAGCCCCCCGATTGCCGCCAGGCCCCCAAAGTGCCTGCCGGCCCTCTAGCAACCAAAGCCTGTCCTGCTCTCCGGCTCAGTGGCTTCGGTTTCCTCCCACCTCGTTCCTCTCTCAGTCACTCTCTCGCTCCTCCACCAGCCCAGGAAGAAGCTGCTTCAAAGAAGCTGGCAGGGTGGCTTTTCCTGTCGGCGCAGCTCCTCCGAAGCACCCGTTCACCCCCACACAGGCACCCGCGGTTCAATCCAGTGCTCCGTTCTGCCTGCTTGCCTTCATTTCTGGTTGTTTCGGAGCAGCTTCGGCTGAGAAAAAGAGGCGAATAGTTATTAAAGGGAGAGAGACACCTGAGGGATGAGGCTGAGGAAGGCAGGGCCGAGAGGCGGGGTTTCTCAGCCATCCTGCAGGGACTTGTCCTGAGCCGCGGAGATAGCCGTGGGCCGCCGCCGCCCAGCGCTCAGTTTTGAAGGCGCTCCTCAACCAGGCACAGTTCCTGAATCTGCAGCTGAAACCCTCCATTTTAAATGTCCCAATAGAAGAGAATATCTGTCGCTCAGGGTTGCAATGAGGAGGCCTTGGTGCTCCCTGAACTTGGTGGTTTGCTGGCGGACGTTTTATTACCCGACTAGGTAACAACATCAGATGTTGCCTAGTCAGGTAATGAAACGTCTGCAAGCAAACCACCAAACTCGGACTCCACCGCCCCTACCCGGTCCTTGGAAAAGTGTTGCTGCGTAAAACTGGTCCCTGGTACAAAAAAGGTTGGGGACCACTGCCTTAACCACTACAATGAAGTGGTTCTCATATATCTAGTGTTACATTATTATTTGCAATGTAGTTTATTTCTTAGGTAATATAATCTATAAATTTAAGCAGTATACTGTTACTTAACTTTAAAATGAAGCAACAGTTTTTGCATATCCAGAGGTTAAATGAGTGCATACAAATTGTATTGGTAGTGTATAGCTGCATACTTTCAAAATAGAATACTTTTCTATCTATTTTCTTACCATTTATTACCAGAAATTAGTTATTCAGGGATAAGGAAAGAAATCTGTTGCCAACCTTATTTTTGATTCTGGACTGGGAAATCATGGGATTATCTTGAACTGCAAAAATACTAATTCTTATAATTTGAATGCAACAATAAGTTGACTTAAATAATATATTTAAATACTTTAAAAGTCATTCTTGATATTCATGCATCACTGCTTTCATTTTTATTGTTGAAAATTGAAGTTCTAATATTGGGAATTCTGCTATCAAAAAGTGTCATAAAATTCCATGAAAAAATGTTCTGGACTTAAAATAACAAATATTAAACAATGAAATGTAACTGTAATAACTTAGGTCTGACTTTCCTTTTTATTTATTTTTCCTTTTTTCATTTTGTGCTATGTCACTTAGTTATATTTACTGATTTTGCATATTTTAGAAACTTGTTTTTGCTGATACACAGAAAAACTTATTTAAAAGCAGTCCACTCATCATTTTGTCTCCACAGTTCAAGGCTGCTCCTGTCTCTACTGGGTCACCCATCTGCATCCTTTAAATCATTATTTTTCAACCTCAGCAACTTTAAGATGCATTGACCTCAACTCCCAGGAGTTGAAGTCCACATATCTTAAAAGATTCTAAAGTTGAGAGGCATTGCTTTAGAACAGGGGTATCAAACTCAATTTCATTGCGGGCCGGATCAGCATTATGGTTGCCTTCAAAGGGCCAGGTGGGCGTGGCTGGGTGGTCACATGACTGGGTGGATGTGGCCAATTCATCACTCACGTCAAGGGGCACCTGTGGTGAGCTGGAAGGGGTGATCCAGGGTGAATTCCAAAGCCTGGGGAGGCAGCAGAGCATCAGTGCTTGCACGCCGATGGGCAGGGTGCCTGGGGAAAATTTGAATAGTGTTAGGACATGGTGGGGGAGAGGCAGCCGAACTACAAGTTCAGTTTTAGGCCACAGTCCAGGCACAAAGGCAATGACAGTGAGGAGAGGTGAAAATGGGAAACCCCTGCCCACTTCCCCGAGGAGGCACCCAGCTGCACTCCTCAAGGCTTCTGCTGCTGCCCCCACGAGACAAAGTGAAGCGAGACCAAGCAAGGCCAGGTGTATGGACGGTCTAGGCGTGACAAGGCGTGGCTGGGAGGAGTGAAGCAGATGAGCTGTGCGTGCTCAGAAGGGGCGCCCAGCTGGGCCAGGCTGAGGCAACGGAGGCATGTCCCTCACCGCTTCCAGGGCAGCCCCGCGTGCCAGATCTAACCTTATCATAGTCCAGATCTTGCCTGTGGGCCTTGTTTGATACCCCTGCTTTAGAAGCTGTTTTGAGAGGTTGCCTAATGTATTGTGATTCTGGAGGGTTTATCAGAGCAGTCACCTGTTCTGGAGACAGTGGATCATTAATACAAGAATATAGCTGCCGCAAGGGGAAAGTCGAATGGATCAGAAATGACCACCTTGTCCCTGTTCTCCATCTCTCTTGTTCCCCTGCCTTAGCTGCTTAACAAAGGCCATATTTTGCCTAATATATCTCTTCGGCATACACACATGCATGTGAACACTCACACATATATAGAGAAAAAAACCAGACTCAAACTAAAAAATTTCCCCCCTTTTCCCCCTTCATTTTATCTATAGATATGTTCCATTGCCTTCCAGGATTTAAGCACGTGATATTTCTTAATATTTCCCCTTCCTCTTCAAGGAGGCTTCTCAAAAAATGACTTTTCAAAATAGTATGAGCCATGTGTTTAAAAATTTGGCTGCAAAAACAAAGGCTATATTCTTGAGCCAGAAACAGCTAGTTGTAAAATTTTACAATGGATAATGAGCCCTTTTGGCAAACAAAATATTATACAAAACCAGATAGGACAAGTCAACGTAAAAGAATTCCAACCATGCTTATCAGGGTTTGCTTTAAAAGAGGAAAAAATGGTATGACTCCTCTACCACTCCCATAGTGAGACTCCAGAGACAACTGTTCTGTTGTGACTCAGTTTCTCCACACATCTCTTCCACTATTGATTACAACAATCCCACTAGCCTTATACAATCCAATTTTGATGTGGATGCCCCAAAAGTGCTTTTTCAAAAGACAACCGGACTTCTAATTTTTTTTTCTTTTTGTTTTCTTGAAAACCTTTCGATTCCAAGAAATTTCTTCATTTCTGACTAAAGGGAAAAATAAATAAATAAATAAATAAGAAAGTTCAGTTGCCTTTGGGGGGGAAAAAACACCTTTGAGACAATCATGACTTGGATAATTAAGGATCAATCCATAGGCATTTTGCTTGGACATTTACTACCTGTTAAAACATCTTGCTCTTTAAAATCAATTTGAAGGCATTCCCTCTGCTTTTGAAGTTAACTTTTAACTTGTTTTTATTCTACTTTTTAATTGTATTTTTGTGATTGTATAGCATTTGTTTATTACCAGCCCAGAGTCAGTTAGACAGTGCAATGGGATAGTTCAGCATTTTTTTTCCTTTGGTTTAACATATTACATACGTACTGCTTTTTCAAAACGGGTATTCCTTTAGCATTATAAGGTATTTGGCAGGATATGTTTTATATATACTATTCAAACAAGAAATTATTTATTTATTTATTTATCATATTTGGAAACTGCCTATCTCCCTCACAGAAGGATTTTAGTAAAAGGCGATTTGCCAACTTATTTAGAACTGCCTCTTTGATCAATCTTAAACTTCCTCTAAGTTGTGTTATATACAACAAATACTGTTATTCAAGATAAGGATTTACATGAAAATTCTTTGGGTCAAACTAATTCTGTCTGCAGCTATAGCTTTCTGCAGGATAGCTACCGTATACTTCTCTTTATTTGTGTTTTCAAGGTTCTTCAGCCACTGCAACAACGATTCTTAAATGTGATAAACCAAGAAAACTTCCAACAAATCTGCCAGGAGGAGGAGGTGAAGCAGGAAATCACTGCCACCTTAGAAGCACTTTGTGGTATTGCTGAAGCTACCCAGATAGACAATGTAGCAATTCTCTTTAATTTTCTGATGGACTTTCTTACAAATTGCATTGGACTAATGGAGGTGTACAAGAATACACCAGAGACAGTTAACCTCATTATAGAAGTTTTTGTTGAAGTTGCACATAAACAAATATGCTATCTTGGAGAGGTAAATAAATTTAAAAATATATTCTAAATATAGGAAATATGCTGGAAATGTACATACCTGTACAGTGATATCAATTTCTTTTCACACCCTTAAAGCTTTTTTTTAATATTTTATTTCTAATAAAAGAAATCATTGAGCTCTGTAAATTGAAGCATTTTCATATTTTGGAAAAATATTTTGAAGAGCTTGGAATTTCTAAATATTTTTAGTATCAGGTTGAATTAAAACTGAGAGTTGATGATCCGCGATATGATGTATTTGTTTCTTTTGGAATATTTTCCTTCACCATTGTGCTGATTTGTCCATTTGGAGAGGTGATAGATGATAGAATTTGTCCATTTGGCTAGATATTATTTATGTCTCATGCCTTGCTTGCATTACTTTATGATCTACCTGTGTGGTGGGGCTGTGTGCTATCAGATAATGGAGAATATCACCATGTCTAGAATACAGGCAGTTCTTGACTTATAACCATTTGTTTATAGTGATCATTCAAAGTTATAACGGCATTGAAAAAGTGACTTATGACTGTTTTTCATACTTATAGCCGTTGCAGTAATTACCATGGTCATGTGATCAAAATTTAGATGCTTGGCAACTGGCTCATATTTATGATGGTTGCAGTGTCCTAGGGTCATGTGATCATCTTTTGTGACCTTCTGACAAGCAATGGGAAGCCAGATTCACTTTATAGCCATGTTACTAACTTAACCACTGCAGTGATTCACTTAACAACTGTGGCAAGAAAGATAATAAACTGAGGCAAATCTCACTTAACAACAGAAATTTTCAACTCAATTGTGGTCGTAAGTTAAGGACTACCTGTACAGGCTCTCATCAACAGAATACTTACTGCCTCAGAAGCTGTAACTTAGAAGATATATGCCCCAATGTTAACTGTTAAAGATACATTGGATGCTTACTTATCTTTTTTTTTTTTTAGGAGCCACTAGGCTCCTAAAAACAGAGAAATTAATAATATCAAGAGATAGAATTTCTTACAAAAAGGAGTGGTGCAGTGGCCCAGAGGTAGAGTTCTCACCTCACAATCAGGAGGCTCTGGTTCAATCCTAGGTAGAGGTAAATATTTCTCTGAGGATATATCTGCTGAACAAAACTCCGCATTGGCAACAGGAAGGCATCTGGCCAATAAATACTCTGCTAGCTCCATTCAGTTGCCCAGACTCCACCCCACAAGGGATTATGGGATAGTTAAAAGAAGAAGAAGAAGATGATAATGATAGAATTTTCTACAAAATGTTATTAACTATACAATGGAAATTCCACACTGCTTAAATGTATGCCTCACAATGTGATTTACTCTGCTGGAGAGTAATCCTTTCAAGCAATAGGATTAATAATTGTTATTTTATAGTTTTAAATCCTTGCTATAAATGGAGTATAGTCCGCTTAGTATCAGTTGCAACTGAAGTGGTTTCAAGGCCTGAGTAATAAGTACATTCTAGCAAGTATATATCCTTCATTAAGCCTTCTTTTCGTTTTTCTTTTTTTTTCTTTTGCAGTCTAAAGCCATGAATTTATATGAAGCTTGTCTGACCCTTCTTCAAGTATATTCCAAGAATAATTTAGGTAGACAACGAATAGATGTTACAGCAGAAGAGGACCAATACCAGGATCTTCTTCTCATTATGGAGCTTCTCACAAACCTACTTTCAAAAGAATTTATAGATTTCAGTGATACGGGTAGGGGGAACTTTAGAATGAAAATAAAATGGGTGAAACTTAAAGAGCGCTTTATCTCCTGACACCAATATGTAATGGACAAATAACAGAGCTCTGTTGATTGGTCTCTTAAATTTCAGAGTTAAAATGCACTGATGCATTTATTCAAACAGTTTTTGATGTTTTCCTGTTTGGTTCTTCAGTGACTTTCAGTTTTTATTTTCCAATCTTTTATTGCCTTTCCTGATTTTTACATAGTTTGTTTTTTTACAGAATGTTTAAACTAATGGAGAATTTAAGCAACTAGTTGAGAAATGTGGGCACTCAAATAACTCTTTAAAAAGTAATTTTTATATATATAAACATTTTAATTTTAATTAATGGCATTAATAAATATTACTAATTATAGAGTATAGATACAGGTGGTCCTTGATTTATGATTTACAGATCCCTCTAAAAGCTACTTACAACTTGGTTCTGAAATTACGGCAGCTGTAGTCATTCACCCTTGACCACAGGGATGTACAGCCTATCTCCTGAAGGATGGGAGGGTGTGGGGCCCAGTGGCTTGGGAAGCAGGCCCAAGGCCTGTGGCAAGCTGAGGAGCAGAAAGTGGAGTATGGGATGCCTCAAAGTGGGGAGACCTGAAGCAGGACCTGTTCTTTTGACAACATCAGGAAGAGCAGGAATGTGAGGGGGGGTGTCATGAGGTCATCATGTGGGCATTTCACTTACTGGCTGTTATGCCTTCCAACCAGGGATGTACAGGATGTACTGCGGGGGAGCCTGCCTATCTCCTGAAGGGTGGGAGGGTGTGGGGCCCAGTGGTTTAGGATGCAGACCCAAGGCCTTTGGCGACGCTGAGGAGCAGGAAGTAGAGTATGGGATTCCTCAAAGTGGGGGAGACCTGTTGTTTTGACAATATCAGGAAGAGCAGGAATGGGGGAGGTGTCATGAGGTGATCATGTGAGCATTTCAGTTACTAGCTGTTATGACTTCCAACCTATTGGGGAGATGGGCAGCATATAAATTTAAAGGAAGGAAGGAAGGACAGATTCCATTACAGTTGATGGTTGAAGACTACCTATATTGGTAAACCTGTTTTTGTCTGTTTATAATACAGTGGAACCTCAGGTTGCATACACTTCTGTTTGTGACCAAATCAGATGATGACCAGAATTTTTGGCAAAGTTTTGTTTTTAGTCACGAGCACATCTTCGGGTGGCAACCAGACACAGCCACGGCAATTTCCCCTTTGGCACCATTTTTTTTGTCCATGCATGCGCAGATGGTTGTGCTTCCGGTCATGACCAAATCGGGTTGCAACAGTAGTCCTGGAATGGATTACAGTCGCAACCTGAGGTTCCATTGTATATGAGCCATTCCCCAAGCAGATAATTATTCATTGTAAGCACAGTTTTTCATTGAATTTTATATTCATTTATCAGCCAAATCTTTGTGGTTAATAAGATTACTGTTTGGGTTTTTTACCTTGTACATTTTGAACTATAAGAAGGTACATTTAATTAGAAGTGAAGCTGATCATTAGTGAATCATCGCTTTAAAATATATTAAAGTGGTCTGCCTTATGACAATCTAAATTTGAAAAGTTTGAAATTAGTAATATATCTTATAATTGTATGTCTAGAGAGGTTCATTAATTTTGGCTATAGTAGATTACAAAACATATTTTATAATTTTTGTTAGAATTTCAGACGTTTTTTAAACTTAAAATTGATTTCCTATTTTTCTTGATGAATGTCTGAGTTTTTTTATCCACCTTAGAATCTAAAGAAGAATAAGAAAAAAAGCACATATAATTTAAATATACTTCCCTGTGCTGTTTAGTTTTTCTAAAGGAAATGTTTTTAAGATCAACTGCAGAAGGCAAAATTACCTTACTGGGATTCAAGCACTGCATTCCAATTACTTTAATTAATAATTTATGAAAGATTTCATGCTCCCTAACGATATATGAAGTTCTAAGCTTGGAGTTCACAAAATATTTGCAAACAGTTGAATTTCTTCTTATATTCCTATATTTCTCCCCTCTTCCTCAACCTTTTAGATGAAGTATTTAGGGGACATGAACCCGGGCAAGCAACAAACAGATCCGTATCGGCAGCAGATGTTGTCTTATATGGAGTGAACCTAATCCTGCCTTTAATGTCCCAAGATTTGTTAAAGGTATGTACAGTACCATGCAGGGTTGCAGAAAGAGATGGGGAATTTTGACTGTTCTTCCAAAAATTGTAATCATTATAATACTGTGTCTCTAAATATGATTTTTTACTACTACCAGTACTTTCATGGCTGACTGAAAATGGCCACGGGCACTAACTCAGAGCTTCAGCCAAGCTCGTGCCCTCCTTTAAACAGCCTTTTAAACCTAGTACTGTCTAAATGTGTTAATAGTACCATCTATGGAATAGCTTGGTATTGGCAAGTTAGTGTAATTAAGCAGTTAATTCCTTGAAACCAAAGAGCTTAGCAAATCATTATGAAATAACATATATAGTATCGCTCTCAGGTTAAATTTTTCAGAAATCTTTAATTGCAAATCAGCTTCACCAAAGTTTATCACAATAAGTGAGCTATGGTTTCAACAATGGGCCATGAATTACAAAAATATGTCAGCTTTAATTCTGTATTGACCTCAAAAACCTAGGACTATATAAGGTATTGCAAATTGTGAAATATACAAAACTAGTAACCCTTAATTTTGAATGCCTGATATTTTGTTTCCTTGAAATATAATTATTAAGAAGCCTCTTTAACATGAACTTACTTTTTTCCTTCCATAGTTTCCATCGCTATGTAATCAGTACTATAAACTAATCACTTTTATTTGTGAAATATTTCCTGAGAAAATTCCACAACTTCCAGAAGACTTGTTTAAAAGCCTTATGTATTCATTAGAATTGGGGATGACATCGTATCCTTTAAGATCTTTTGGGGGAGCAGAGAAAGGACTTATTCAGTTGATCTCTTTATTTTTCTCTCTTTAAATCATTACTTTATTGTATACTTGATATATACCTTTTAAGTATATGCCTTGAGAATGTCAAGAATTTCAGTTGTTGATTACTTACCTGAACATTTGCATTGTGTTGTTTTTTTGTTATCAAAGTTATTTTATGAGAGGGAATCCACATATTTATTATTTTATTTTGGCAGAGAGTTTAATATAATATTTCTCAAGTTCTGCATATTCTTTGCTTGAAGTAACTTATCTTTATAATGAGAAGCAGTTATTCATTTATTTAAACATTCCCATTCTGTCACCAGTAAGAACCAGGATACATGTGCACCAGATTATTTAAGCCTGTTGTTAGAGTATTCTAAAATTTAGAATTTAGAATTACCTGATAGGAAAAATGAAACCATTTTTATAATTTTGCAGGGATGGAATCTGTTGTCCTTATAACAGTTTCTAGATTCAATAACATTTTAATGCAAAAATATTTAGATATTCTGTGCTTCTTGCTCATTTGCTACAAATTGTTGTAGCTCTCTACACTTGATTATTTGTCTCATCCCTAAATTCTCCCTCTTTACTTTCCTTACTTACATTTGATTAAAACAGAAATGCAATAAGAGCTATTTCTAAAAAGAAATAATGGAGGAGGAACCAATTTCAACCACTTCGTGATAATCTTAGCTTGAAATATATAGGAAAATGGCAGTTTTTAACTTCTGTTTACTGTTTTCCTCTTGTATTGTATAATTTCCAAATACCCCTCAAAGGAAAAATACATTTCTTGACTTTGAGTAATCAGAATGAGTTCAGATGTTTGCCAGCTCTGCTTAGAAGCTCTAACGCCATTAGCAGAACAATGTGCAAAAACACAGGAATCAGAATCATCCCTCTTTTTAGCAACAAGACACTTTCTTAAGGTAAGAGACACCATTCCATATATTATTGTCTAATATTTTGGCTTGGATTTCAGCAAAGCATAAAACCATTGTGTAATAGCAATAGCAGTGCTTTACAGCCCTCTCTAGGTGATTTACAGAGTCAGTGTCAACTCATAAATTTGAATTTAATTTACGGAATACAAACTAAAGAACCCTTTTCCAACAGTGACCACAATATGATTGACTTTTGTCTCAACATATGCCCACACAAAAATCATCACAATGACGTAAGTCCCAATTATAACTTCAAAAAAGGCAACTATGATCTTATAGACAACGATCTCTCATCCTTTGATTGGCAATCTCGATTCACTGGATGCAATACTGTTGAAGACCATTAGAACATATTTTTACTTGAAGTCAAAAGAGTCATCAAACTATATGTACCAATAACAACTCCCAAAACAAAAACAAAAAAACAGATTACCCATAACAATAAAGAAACTTCAATCCAAAAAGAGATCACTCTGGCGGAAAAACAAATCTGGTTACGTTGCCAACTTCAAAAGCTGATACAAAAATTTATGCCACCAGATAAAGACTGAATGTACCAATTATCACATTAAACAAGAGGAAAACCTTCTATGCACCAATTCCACCCGTGCTTTTTACAATTTTGTAAACAACAAACTAAAAGATTCAAGGTCCATCCCACCCCTGGTAGGGCCTAATGGTAAAGACTGCAATGACGACACTATTAAAGCCAACATCTTTAACACATTCTTTGGCTCAGTATTTGTAAACAGCAATGGATCATGCCCAGTCAAACCACAGACAACTACAATGATCTAATAAATATCGATTTTACAGAAGACAATGTTGAAAAAGCACTATGCAAGCTAAAACCATCTCTATCTATTGGACCGGACGGAATATGTGCCTACTTCTTTTTTTTTTTTTTTAAGAACAAGTTTTATTGATTTTTGAAGACAAACAAAACATAACACATAGAAGTATAAAACCTCCTTTGTAAGAATTACTTATAAATTTCAACAAGGCAAATAAAGCATTATTTTTTAAAACATGGTTCCACATTATCACACTTCCATTTACACATATATATCTTTTCCAAATTTCTCATTATTTCTCCCTTCACTTTCATTCAATCATATTTCCTTCTATCAAAGTTTCAGTAATTCTCAATCAGTCATAAGCACACAAAGTACATAACCTAAAGCAAAACATTGGAGGGAAAAAAAAAACCTCCTTAGTTATCATTTGTACATATCTTTTCCCAATTTCTCTCCCTTTAATTTCATTTCTCCCAAGATTTTATTAATTTACAATCAAACATAAATAATCCACACACTAAACATAAAACATAAAACTTCTTTTGAAAAGTGACTTGGCCCCAGGTTACATCTTTTTTGACAGACCTAAATCAAATTCATGCCCACCTTATATACCCTTCATATCTTATTAACCATTTTGTATTTTCTATATAACTTCTCCCATCTTTTCACTCTCTTAATTATATTTTATTTATTTCATCTTATTTCAAAGTCATTATACTTATATCTTTTGTCCGTTCTTTACCAAACATCGATGTATCTCTTCCCTTTAACAAAAAATTTCCCCTGTAATCACTTTTGAAGTATGACGCCTTCTCCTAAAATAAAGCTTAAAATAATACATAATTTCCATCCTGATTCTGCTTAGTACATTCTACATATTAAATCTTAAAATAAAAGAATAGTAAACTTATAGTATAATTAAATGTATAATTTCTATTCTAATTCTAATTCTGATAAGTACATTGTTTTAGAATAAAAAAAAATGAAATACTAAAGTTATAATAACATTAAAACAGTAACAAATTAAACTTTAACTAAGCATTAATCATTTAACACAGTCTCCTAATATTTTATTAAATATCAACATCTATCATTATTAAACATTAATATTTTGTTAAATATTCCAATAAACTGTTTCAAATGCAAATACTACAATACTATCTTATGCACTCTTGCAGAATCTTCTTTAATTATAAACTATCCATCATCCTTCGTCTCTAAAAAAAAAAACTTTCTTTTTAAAATCTTGTTCTAACCCGTGGCTTTTTTTTTCTTTTTCCCTCCCTTTCTTCTCCAATCTGGTCTTTTTGCCCCCCTCTCTCCTCTCCCCCTTTTTAAGTTTCCCTCTCTGTTGTAATTCTCTTTTCAATTGCTTTCTAACATTGTACCTTCTTTTCACCCTATTTTTCTTTTTCTTGGTTGTTTTATTAAATCTTAAATTCTCCTTTTCCCTTCCTCCCTTCCCATTTTCTTTCTTAGTCACACTTTTTAGTCCATTAAAAATGGCTTCTTCCTTTTCTTCTTCTTCTTCTCCTTCTCCTTCCTCCAGTGTTTGCTGGTACGTAGAAACCGCCATTTCTAAAAAATGGAAGGCAGCTCCCAAAGAATCCTTGCCACTTTGTTGTCTTTCTTTTAATTTTTCATATTCCATTTTCAGTTCATCAACCGATAGTACCATTATAGGTTTTTTTAAAAACAACCCAGATGCTTTCAATCTTGAAGTAATTTCCAAATGTCAGACTTATCAAACAATCCAAACAAACAAAACTTTTTTCCTCTTCTTCTCTTTACAGTTTTTTCTCCAGAGGCAAAATCCCAGATGTATTTTAAAAGCCGTATTACCATTAATTAATGGTCTTGTAATCTTCAAGGCGTCTCGTCCAACAAAGTTTAAAAAAAAAATTTTTTTTAGTCCTCCCCTTCCCACTTATAACAAAGAGCTTATTTTTACCTTTAAAGAGCAGGTTTTTCTGTGCTCCTTTGCTTTCTCCGTAGGGAGGGGGAGTGAGCTTTCCTTCAGCACTTTCGCCGATGTAACAAATTCTTTTGGAAACAAATGTATCAATCCAAAGTCAGGTTTCCAGGGTGTTTTAAAAGTAACATAATGACCTGGTTTAGCCAAGAAAACTTCTCCATCTAAGTCTTCCTCCTGCACAATCTTATCCAGTTGAAGATTCCTTTGTGGCTGCCATACAGACAGCTGCTCCACCGTCTCAGGAAAAAGGAGTTTAGCCGGCTGGGGAAGGGGGGTGCGATATCCCCAGACCCCTGCCCGGATCTCCTCTGTCTTCCGCTGCCCCTTCAGGGCAGCGACAACCCCCAAATCCAGTTGGATCGGGGGTACCTTGACGGCGAGCACAGCAGGGACCCGCAGAGAAGCGGATTCCTGCCGCCGCCGAAGCCTTGCAACTGGAAGTGATCGGAATATGTGCCTACTTCTTAAAAAAGCTATCTACTGCCATAGCAGAACCTCTAAGCATAATCTTTGAAAAATCTTTCAAGACCAGCTCCTTGCCTAACCTATGGTCACAAGCCACGGTCATCCCCATCTTCAAAAAGGGAGACCCCAGCCTAGTTGAAAGTTACAGACCAATCTCCTTATGCTGCGTCACCTGTAAAGTCATGGAATCAATTATTAACCAATCCATTATCCTCCACTTAGAGACAAACAACCTACTCTTGAATAAACAATTTGGTTTCAGAAAAAAACTATCCTGTAATCTGTAACTCTCACACTGCAAAAACATATGGACTACACAACTCAATTAGGGCAAAACAATAGACGCAATCTACATAGACTTCTGCAAAGCCTTTGATTCAGTGGTACACGACAAACTACTCCTAAAACTAAAATCTTATGGTATCTCAGGACAACTGCATAACTGGATAAAAGCATTCCTGTCAAACAGACAACAAATGATCAAAATTGGAAACGTCCTATCAAATTCTGTACCTGTCAACAGTGGTGTCCCCCAAGGCAGTGTTCTAGGACCAACTCTCTTTATACTCTCCATAAATGACCTCTGTGATCATATTAAGAGCAACTGCGTTCTCTTCGCTGATGATGTAAAACTGTTCAATACCACAGACAATACTGCTACCCTTCAAAAAGATCTTGACTATGTATCAGAATGGTCAAACAAATGGCAACTTCAAATCTCAACAAATAAATGCTCTGTCTTACATATTGGCAAAAAAAATCAGAAAATAAAATACAAGCTGAATAGTCAAGACCTTGTTGATGATCCAAGCTCGGTAAAGGACCTTGAAATACTCATCTCTAATGATCTAAGTGCTAGAGCCCACTGTAACTATATCACCCAAAAGGCATTAAGAGTTGTTAACCTAATCCTACGTAGCTTTTTCTCTGGTAATATCACACTACTAACTACAGCATACAAAACATTTGCTAGACCAATACTCAAATACAGCTCATCAGTCTGGGACCCACATTATGTATCTGATATTAGCACAGTTGAGAAAGTCCAGAAATATTTCACAAGAATTCTCCACTCCTCTGCTTGTTGTAGAATACCTATGCCACCAGACTTGAAATTCTAGACCTAGAAAACCTAGAACTACGCCACCTTTGGTCCGATCTAAGTATAGTATATAAAATCATACATTGCAATGTCCTACCTGTCAATGAATACTTCAGCTTCAACCATAACAATACAAGAGCACACAATAGATACAAACTCAAAGTTAACCGCACCAAACTTGATTGCAGGAAATACGACTTCAGCAACAGAGTGGTCAATGTCTGGAATACTCCACTTGACTCTGTGGTTTCTTCCCCAAACCCCAAAAACTTTAACCTTAGACTGTCTACTATTGACCTCACCTCTTTCCTAAGAGGTCTGCAGGGGGTGTGCACAAGCGCACCAACATGCCTACCGTCCCTGTCCTATTGTTTCTTTTATTTTCTTATATGTACCCATTTCATGTATTCATAACTATGTTTATACGTATACCTATTATCTTATAAGTAATTGACAAAAATAAATAAAAATAAATAAAACATTCCTATGCCTGTTTTAGTAGTTGCCATTAAAAAAAGGGGGGGGGAAATCTGGAAGAGCAGTGCAGCAGTAGAAAGCGAAAGTACATTCCAACTCTTATCTTTAAAAGATTGTAACTAAAATACCAGACTTTTGGCCCACAAATATATTTAATTGGAGAATGTGAATAACACCCAGCCTGTGAATATGCTCAATTGGAGAAATCTAATTTATGAGACACTCAGGGGGGAAACAGGGTCACAGATGACTGTAAATTATGTATGTCAGAGTTGGCTTCATACAGGGCAGTGCCAGTATGTCGCCTCTAATAAAACCTTTGAAGTTTTTTGAAGTTTGGCTCAAGAATCATGATTTAATTAGAGTGATTGCTGGAATCCTGACAGCTAGCATATTGTCCCCAACAATCTGGGTCCTCATTTTACCCACCTTGGAAGAATGGAAGGCCGGGTCAACCTTGAGCCGGGTGAGATTCGAACTGCCAAATTGCAGGCAGCCAGCAGTCAGTGGAAGAACCTGCAGTACTGCACTCTAACCACTGCGCCACCATGGCTCATATCGTTCGTGTTAGCGCTTTCCCTCGCGGTGGGACTGCATGTTTGACCTAGCTGCTGAGGACCCTGGGAATTCCAGCTCAGTTCATTTGCACAGTGCTGTATTGGTGAATACAATATTGCAAAATAGGAAATAGAGACTGAGGGGCATAAGCCTTAGTGATCCTTCAAAAAGCCTTGAGAATGAACCTTGTGCCATATTACTTATTGGAAATCACTTTTTCTTGCCAGAGGAGCTTTTTGGATGCAAACCAGTAATCAGGTTAAAACCACATTTGATGCCAGTTTTTGTAAAATGAACCCTACTTTTTTTCTATATGTTTAGCTTATTGGTTACTAAGGAGCCCAAGGAATCTATTATTAAAAAGTACCCAGTTTTTCCACCAGAAAATTCATTGTTTGTGCCCATGGGAGTGGGTTATATTAGTAAGGAAGTTCAAAGTTCTTAACATGATTAAACAGATAGATTAGGGGTCTCTGCTTCAGCCATTTATCATCTGTTTTATAATATAGTGATAACACTATTCTGACTTACACATTGTTGCAAGCAATTATGTATATAATTTGAAAGTTAATTTTTAGTCCTCATCTTAAAACACAAGCTTCTACAAAGTAGTTGTCACTTTCAGCTTCTTAGCACAATTTTTTTTAAAAAGTCAGGATATAAAGTTTTGTTTTTACATTTTAGATGGTTTTTGATATGCTGGTACTGCAGAAGCACAATACAGAGATGACAGCTGCAGCAGGAGAAGCATTTTATACATTAGTATGTTTGCATCAGGTATGATATTTATGATGTCATTATCTCTTCCATGTTCCATAATGCTTAGGGGTACTAGAAGTCTACAGATGAATCTTACAGTCAGGTCGAATTAACTTGATGACTTGAGGGAAGCCACTATTTCTTAACTTTAAAGAAATGTTCTTAACATCCAAAATTGGAAATATGTTTATATTGTAATTTTGTTAACAAGTCAATCTATAGGAAGCCTTTGATATTATTCCACAGACTTAATTTTTATTAATACATTTCCTTCTGAAATATAAATGTGATTATCTTCTTTACAGGCAGAATATTCTGAATTAGTTGAAACTTTACTATCAAGTCAGCAAGATCCCATAATTTACCAGCGGTTAGCAGATGCTTTCAACAAACTTACTGCAAGCAGCACTCCGCCTACGCTGGACCGTAAGCAGAAGATGGCCTTCCTCAAAAGTTTAGAAGACTTTATGTCAAATGTCGGTGGTCTTCTCTGTGTAAAATAAATACCAGAACTGTATGCCTAACTTAGACCCTTTTTGCAAAATGCACTGAAAAATGCTGAAAGCTGACGTAATCTTAATTGCCTGTTGCTGGGTTTTTTGCAGCCATCTAAAATATCAGAGAGCCTGGAAGTCTTGAGCAGTGGAATAGGAGATGTCAACTCTAAAATCAGCTTCTGCTAATATGTGTTAGCCACCGTCTGTCATATACCTTTTATGTTGTACAGAATAAAAACAGAAAAAACTGAAATGTTTAAAAGAATTCCACAAGTGCATACAGACATGGGCACAGTAAAAACAAAAAAACCCTAACAAACCCAAGAATCAGTGCCTTGTCCCAGAAGTCCTCAAGTAGTGATGAATCAAACTCCTATAATATTTTTTGTTATTGCTAGAAGCCCTTTTTGGTGCGTGATTTAAACACATACAGAACTGTAAAACAATTCTAAGCTTTATTTTTCCTCTCTGAAAACTGTGTAAACCAGTGAAGAAGAAACCACCAAATGATATTTTTTAACTTGGATTTAGTGTTTTTGTTTTGTTTTGCTTTTTTTACATCAACCTGGCGTTGCATGTTTGTGTAATACAACTTTTTACATTATATGCTGCTGCCCTAAAGTTCACAAAGAAGAAAGGTGTATATTTTTGTTTCCCCTGAAATGAACTTTAGGAACTGTAGCCATTTCATTGCCTTAATTTAAAACAAAAAATAGTTGAAATAAGTTAGGTGAGTTGTCTAAGGCAAACTTTGAATCTTCAAAACTGGTTTAGAATGTTGGCATTAAACTGCCATGTATTTGTTTGCAGCCCTTGTGTGTTGAAGAGTATTATGTCTGTGAGTGTAAACAAAAATCAATGTATACCTTTACTTTTAATATTTGTTGAGTCACACCCATGTCACATACACAACTGCAGTGTATTTCAAGATTGAATTGTTTGCTGAAGCAATAATGTTTCAAATTATGTAAATTATTGATTTCTACTTTTTTATGTTGGGGCATTAGATTTAGTGGCTAGACTACACGAGCATCAAACTCTTCTAGCAAAGGCCATGCATGTTTGACTTCATGATTCAGAATACGGACCTATGGTTTTATATTTTGCCACCATCGTCAAATTTAATAGTACTGTCTTCTGCTGCTCTGATCCCACTTGTTTGGTGTGTTGGCACTTTAACTATGTAAGATTACCGGTATGGTTTCATCCTGCACTCACCAAATAGGTTGCCATGGGAACAAAGTGGTAGGATATCAAGAATATGGAAGCAGAACAGTTATTCATAATTGTAAGCCAAACTAAATCAATTGGAATATGTATGCTGCTGATTAAAAATAATCTTTTTTAATGAAGGAAGGAGATAATTTGTCTCCAGAACCTTGTGCTTCATACTTGCAAGAACTAAACTATTGGATATTAACAAATAAATATTTTTACATTTTATATAGACATGTAAGCCCTCACCTCATCCTAGCATAATGTTTGCAAATTCCATGCCAGTCTTGAGCTGTTCATCTCAACATTTAATCTCACTACCCATAATTATTTATATATGATTTGAAATCTTTAATATTATAGAGTTTTAAGGGTCCAAGACTTCTTTAATTCCTTCTCATTAAACCACAATCAGAAATCAAGGGAAAGATGGGCCGTGGTTTGTAAATCTTTCCTATGAATTGTAATGTTTTCAAACACTGAAGACTGGATAGAGGAAGTTGCTTCCTTGAATAAATAAACAGAAAAGGGTTCAGTAAAGAATGGATCGGTTCAGAGATCACTATGAACTAAATGGTTTGGCTTTCAGAACACTCTGTGACAAAGCCTTTGCACTTGATTTAATTTAGTATGCTTGAATGGCTGAGCTGAGCAAATGTTGACTATTTAGCCACTGATTGGTCTCCTAAATATAAGTTTTAAAATACATATTCCTAATTCATAATTTGCCATGATATCTGAACTGAGCCTGTTCAATTCTCAATTATATTGGTCCATCTCTTTCTGTTAGTGTTGTTTGTAGAATAAGGGAATTGTTTTGGCTTCTGATTTGTTAATTTTAAAAATTGGGTTGTCCTGCGGCTCCAACATAATTATATGTGTTTTAATTATGATGAATTCTATATGTGTCTTTTAAAACTGTTAACATTTAAGTTTCTAAACCAATTTGTTTTCAAAATTTTACTCATGGTGTTGAAAGAAATTCTACTGCCTATATTTAACGCATGGCAATTTATTGATAGGATGTAACTAAGCTCTCATTTATTGTGAACAAGTCTAGCTTATAAAATTAGTGCTTAAAGGTGCCATGTGAACTTTTGGAAATGTGAGACATAATGTTTATCTCTGGAAGCATTGAAGAGCCAGTTTGCACAATTTCTTCAAAGTAGAAATAGTTGCAAGGCAACAGTGAATTGTGGCCAAGAATTCCACTTTCTTGACTGTTTGGGGAAGAATCTGCTTAGTGCCTGCTGAGCATTATCTCTTCATTTCAAATTAGTCTGTTTCAGTTTTCTGCACAAATGAATATTGGTTGTGCACAACAGGTCTTGGTGGATTGTTTCTAAACTGTCAAGGATTATTTGCAATTTTAAACTTGCTTCCCAATTTGAAATGTATATTATATTAAAGGGACAATATCCAATACATTTTTATCTGAAATTTTGTAATCGTTAGAAATTTCTAAGAAGGCTATCTTTCCAGTTTTTGTATTTTTTTAAAGTATGAATAATGCTATCTTACCCCTACTCCACCTAACATGTTTCCAGATGTAATACAGTGTATCTCCACTCCTAAATGTTGACATTTAACAATCCAGAATTGTGCTACTAATTAGGAAAGCTCACTTTGGAGCATAGACAGATTTATCACACTGGAGAGCTCTTTTATTACTAGAAAGGAATCTTTAATGGGATGCGATGTACTTCTTTTAGTGAAAACACAGACAAAGCCAATGGAAGCCAATTTAAAAAAATGCATTTCAGTTAGCTGGCGTTCTTTGAGAATTTGGTTCCATATTCAATAACCCCAATGAGTCTGCTGAAAAGGAAAACATTCAGTAAAAAAAATACTTGATGTAAGATCCCATTATGCAACCTACAATATTATAATCCAGACATACCAAATATGATGTTTTCACAGAGCAAACCATTTTCTTGGAATATCTTTCTAATGATAGCTATTGCTGTTCTGTACTTCCAAATTATATATTCAGTTCTATTGATAGATTTTCAAAACATAAAAAACATGAATCACATGCTTTCAACACAGATAAACTGGCCTTGCTTTTATCTTGGATGTTGATAGTACAATTACGTTTTTCAAAGAAAAGGTCTGAAATTCTAATCTGAGCATGTTAAAATGCAATTCAAATATTGAGTTGTCATTATATTTAGTGAAATATATGCAACTTCCATATAAAGACTAAAATAATTGATAAATTGCTTAAAATTCAAATTAATTGTCCTACTTGACAGCTAATTTATCACAATAGAAATTGAAATAATTCAACCTGATCTGAGCAATTACTGGTGGAAAACATATACTGTAGTAACATATCTGCAGAATAATACCAAAGTCGGTTACAATAGGTTCTCCAGTATTCTGTGATTTGTTAGTGGTTTCTTTTAATGAACCACTTCCATACAAAACTTAAACCATGCAAAAGAACTCCATCTGAAAAATAATACCACCCACATAAATTATTGGAACTGAAATTTAATAATAGCATTTTCCAACAGGCCTCAAAGTATTTTTTCAAATCTTGTTTGCAAAATTTTGTAAGTACAAAATCACTTTTTGTGGTGCCACATGTTTTGTATGTCACTGTTCTTCAGATTTAGCAGCAGTCATATTTCAATCGGATAGTCACAATTGGAAGCAATCTATTGAATTTTGTGAGCCTTTTGAATAGGCACACATACCCTTGTGCTGTGAATATTATTGTCAATGGCTATTACAGAAATGGAAAACTTGGTCTGAAGCAAACAAAATAGAATGGCAGTTTTGAGATTACATGAGTTCCAGAATTCCACTATTTATTATTGTAGTTGGAATTGCTGGAATATTCCATAAAATGAAGCCATATTCAATGTAATATAAATATAACAATAAAAAAGCCTTTTAAGCCAGAATATTGGGGAATGACATATTTCTTGTTAAATATTTTTTGTGTTTTGTCCATGTGCAATTACTGCTTTTTTTTTTACTATAAGCTGACTTGATCTGAAGAGTTAAAATGGTTTTTCAGTTGTTTCTATCAAAGATAAATAAAAATAATGAATTCAGTTTTGCACTGATTCAGTCTTCTTTAAAATATCACTAAGATACAAGTTGAATTTGATCACTGCTTTTAGTAAACCATGCTTTTAGAATGAGTCAGCCATAATCAAACTGGCAAAATATAATTAACTTCTTAACATCACTGATGTTATTTTGATCTTCTCACTTCTTTTTTTGGAAGAAGTAAAACAGTTATTAAATTCAATTATTTTTATTTATTACAGCCTTAAGTTATTGAAATATTCCAATTACTGGAGTTGAAACATACTGTATTTTCTATCCTTCAGATTTTGGTACCTAAACTTTATATCTGACTGAATCTTACTAATATGAGTTCAGAACTTAACTGGAACATTGAGTTTGCCAATTACATTTCTGTTAAATGCATGTTTTTAATAATTCGTTTATTAAGCTCAAGAATTACTATTGATTTAGGTCAGTCTCTTTTTATTCCAGTCCCTTTCTACAATGGAAAATATTTAAGCCACAGATTGTCTGAAATGAAATTTTGCTTTAAATTAATAAGATCTGGAATAAACTTGAAAGTCATGCGGGGACAGGGAATGATTTGATATTTTTATGTAAAGAGGCAGATTTGTGGTGTCTTGCATAATTGGGGTTCTTAGTATGCTTTTGTTTTTTAATACTATATATATTTTAATACTGCTATCCAAATAAAGCAGCCTGGTCAAAAAAGAAAAAGAAAATCATGAAGGTAGTTAAACAGTAAGAAATAATTTTGTTTTTCAAAGCGGTCTGCAATCTTAACCAGTTGTAATTGACAGTGGGTATTTAGAAAGTAGAATAAATGTTTTGAATTGCATTTGAAAACTTCTCTGTAAATGTAAATGATAATCTTGGTGCTTCAATATGTGAATTTCAGTACTTTAATTTTTTATTAAAAGGGGGCAGGTTCTCATTAAATGTTTCATTGCATAAATGTGTTTAGTTAAAATTCCAACTCTTTTCTATTGCATCTAAGCCTTATTTTTATATGATCTTGTTTAAGGTTTGTCTTCAATTCTAAAGTGCATTAGATTACCTTTTAACCAAAAAAGACTGAGGAATTATATGAGAACCTTACATAGTTTGTATCTGTTGAAGGATGAGTGATTACTACAAGAAAGGTTGCAAAGAAAACTCTGCCTGATTATGTCTCTGATTATGTCTCTGCCTCTGACTAAAGGATCTTAATTTAGTCTATCCCCTGCAAAATGGTTGGGGAAAGAATTTTCACTGGCTTAATAACCCTAATAGATATATTTGCAAAGCTGTTTTAAATGTTGTTTCTACTGTACATTCTGCTTGTTATGCTCCATTACTTTTAAACGTTTTGCTATTTTTGCTGTATTTCTAAGAAATCTCTTAGGAAAACCTCTTCTTACAACATCAGCACTACTGGCAGTGAATTCTTACATTCTTCTATACATCCTTAATGAAAGACTGTTGGCCAAAATATTTTCGGACTGCTTTAAGCTGTTAAACGCACTTTTGTGACTTTATGGCTGTTGAAAATGAATTGTCTTGCAAATATTTTGATAAACATGTACTCAATGAAAAACAAATTTTTACTGACTCAGGAAAGCAAGTTGCAATAGATACCTGTCTCTTCTTTTATAAGTGGAATGTTTTAATCTGCATATTTTAAGCCAGGTTATGTTTAGAATCTAGAACTTTAAAAGGGGGGGGGGGTACTTTAATGCAAAGAAAAACAGGCCTATTTACTTTTAAATGTTTTTGTTCTCCAAAGTTTATTAAGTTATATATTTACCTAATAGGTAACAGAATCAAAGTTATTTTAAGTTCTTTTCTTCAGCAGACAATTATGAGTAGTAGTATAAGGGGGCAGGATAGTTAATTTGAGGCTGCTTGAAATATAGTCAAGACACTTATTTAAATTAGTTAAATATTTAAGGAAAGATGAATAGGATGTACTGAAAATAATTTGTTGATGGTTTGGCTAAATAATTATACATTACCTTTGAGATTATTGGAGAAGTCTAATTGTCATTTTCTTCAAAAATAAAAAAGAGAAGTTGACAAATTATGGACAGGTCAGTCTAACATTAATATGTGGGAAGATTTTGGGAAGTAGTTCATTAAATGTGTAATTAACATATATCGGCAACAAATCTTGACTCATTTCAGTTACAGTAGCAATGAGTGCATCGTTGAAGGGCCACATTAGGACAGATTGTCAGAGAATGGGTCTCTAAGAACTGCCCATGACTTGATAGCACATGATGAATTAATTTTGACCATTACTTTATCAAGTAGTTTAGTTAGTAGATTGCGGGAATGTTATATGTAAACCATGACTTCCAAAAACGATTTGATATGACATTCTGGTTAGCAAATTAGAAAGTACAGGTTGCAAATAGTTGATATAAAAATCATAATAATCAAATTAGAGTAAAGTACTATGTAGGTGCCACACAATTTAGACCTGGTTTCTATATCCATCAACATTTTTATTAATTTGGGTGAAGAAATAAGGGATGTTTCTCAAATCTGTCAATAACACAAGTTTTAGAAGAATACTTAATACCTTATAAGATATAAAATGTGGAAAGATTTTGGTAAATCAGAAAAATAGATGGGGAAAAACAACAAATTGAATACAGTCAAATGTGAATATTGTCAATAAGAAAACAGTCAAATTGGTAGGTAAGGATACTTGAAATAATAATTATGAAGGGTATATTTGTTATATAAATAGGAAGTCTTGATGAAGTACTGTCAAGAAATAAGAGTTTTTGTGACGAGACTGAATACCAATCTCTAAATGATGTAATGTGAAGATGGTCAATAAATAAGGCTTACAGTACAACACAGAATGAAGGAAGCAAAGAACAAGATAATTGTTAACCCTCCTGAAAATCACTACACCACAATAAAGCAACCATCTTTTTTCCTGCTATCCATCCTGCTTTGTTATGACTATGAAATCTAAAACAAAAAATACCTTGGTACAGCACAGTAGTTTATTATGAACTGAATGTGACACAGTATAACTGCTTAAAAAGGCAAATTCAGTTCAACAGAACTATAATAACAATTGCTGTTCTGCATTGGTCAGACCCTCTTGAATATTGTGTGAAACCCACACTTTTAGAAGGAAGCAAACTGGAATGAGTAATTGGAAAATGTCAGAAGAGTGGGGGATATAAGTCTTCAAATAGCTAAAATGTGCTGTAGTCTTCAGATTCAAAGGTATTTGGATTCAGTAGTGGCAGCTGAATCTAAAGCACTTTTCTTGCTGAAATTTTGAAGACTACAAAACTTTTTTTGGAGAGGACTTACATAAAAGAAAGTGAAAATGTAAGACCTGGAATAAAGAATTTGAATCCCCATAAATCAGATCCCATTTTTTTTTAAATCCTATCAAATAGGGCAAAGTGACAAAGGAGTTGGGTTGCTTCTTACCTGAAGTATTCAAGTACAGATTGCACAGTTACCTGTCCCAGGGTGCTTTAATTTCCTTTTCTGCACTGAGGAAGGTGGCAAATTCTGCTCAAATGCCTAACTTTCCAACATGGCTGTAAGATCAAAGGAAATGTAGGTTCATGTACTGTATTATCATTTCTCCTGGGAACTTCTGATGGTGTACCAGCTATTTTGTTAACTGAATATTTGCTTCACTTCTGTTTTTCCTGGTTTTGCTCAATTTACATCTTCTGATTCTGAAGTTATTGTTGGATTGAAAGGTTGCTTTACTACCTCTACAGATTTAATAGTGTGCATGGCTTCAAATGTAGCCTCAACACATCTGGATTGAGCGAGCTAGGAAGAACATTTAGTAGGAGAACAAGACATTTATTCTTCCTTTATAATAGACAGGATATTCCATACGTACTCAATGGAAATCTTAATTTTTCATATGCAGCAGTCTCTCATACTGCATTCCCAGCACAGGGATTTGGGCCACGATTGATATATTTTACTAAATCAAGTGAAATTGTTCCTGGAGGAAAGTTTTAAATTATCCATTTAGTAATTTTTAAGGCATAGATGTGTTTTTCATAATGGTTTATTGAAGATACAGATGATACCATAGTGGTTAAGATCTTACACTGGTGCTGTTAAAACTTGTAATTAAAAAAAGAGAAAATTAGGCATGTTTCTAATCTCATCAGAAAACCATATTATAAAGAAAATAAGTATTATTAGAACTGTTCGATTCTACAGTATTTTAATGCAGGAGAAGCAGAGTTTTATTTTCTTGCATGTTTTTGTTTCATTGTATCGCTATCACTGTTCTCCAGTATCACACTTCTCCTAAATCAATCACCCAAAATTCTGTACATCTATCCAATTAGCAAGGACACTGCAGTCACAATGTTTCTGAAAACATCCTGAAATAAGCTGGGTATCCAAAACATGTTTAAGGATGCCATTGTTCCTATTTTCAAAAACTGCAATCCAGAAGTCAAAAGAAATTTATGATGTGACCTGCAGTCAGTACTAGCATACACAAAGAAGTAGTTTAAAACACTGCAATACTATTTCATTGATTAGTCATCAAGTATGTACATGCAGAATTTTGAAATCTTACCAAGTAATAATTTTGAAAGCATTAAATTTTTCATTTTTTTATACTGGCTTTCAATCATGTTCCAAAGAGATTTTAAAAAACAACTGTAGATTTACTCAATTTCTGTTTTTTAAAAATAAAGCCCTTATTTTCTTGCTTTTTATCAGAGTTTATTTTGGGATTATTCTTTCACAGTACCCATTAATTTCTTGCAGCAATCTACATTTCAAAAGCAAGCCACATTTGGCACTATAAACATGGTGCTGTGTGCCAAACATCAATAATTATTTTTTTCTACTTTTTAATCTAATTTTTTAGTTCACAATAATGGTGAAAAGACTTCTCCCCTTAAATAAACAATTGGGCTATTATGTCTAGGTTGCAACAATGCAAATAACTACTTGGTAGTAACCAAAAGATACAGAAATCCCTACCTCTCTGCTTCCACCCTAGTGATTCCGCAGATGTAAGAGCCCTAACAGGCATCTAGGAATTTGGTAGCCCTTGTTTAGTATATACCTCGTGTAGTGTCTGTTTGATGTTACAACAGTGGTTAAAATTAACTTTGCAACCAGTCCTCTCATTAACTTCTTTTGCAGATCTATAAAGCAAAGAAAAACTGAAATAAGATTTAAGCAAAGACATGGTTTCACTTAGCAACTGCCTTGCTGAATGTCCAAATTGTGAGTCCCAATTGTGATCACTCTAACTCAGGGGTGTCAAGCTGGCCGCCCGCAAGCCGGATATATCACATGCAGGCCACGCTCACCCCAGCTCAGCGAATGGGAAAAACGTTATGAAACATCACATGACAGCAACGTGACGCAGCAAATTTGACACCCATGCTCTAACTCATATGTAGGTTAGAGGAGTACCTATATCTGAGTATTCAGAAAATCTCATTCTATTCCTGCAGCACTGTATCTTATTTGTAGGCTTTTAACTGACAAGTATAAAACATATACCTGTTCATTTCCTAAGATAAAATTGTAGGAGATTCTCTGCAGAGCACATCTATCACATTTAACTATATCTTTAGTTAATTCCATCATGGTAATACAAGTTTGGGGATCCAGTTTGGACTACTGATTAAAATGATGAGAAACAGAAGACAGTTCTAGTTGTATCTTAGGCATGGAGCTAGCTGGGAGACCTTGGGCAGGTCATTCTCTTTCAATCTTAGGAAAGAGGCAATAGCAAACCACTTCTAAAATATTGCCAAGAAAACTGCAGGAACTACTCTAGGCACTTACCAGAGCCAGATGTCAATACTGACTTGAACACACACACATACACCAAAAATGTTGGACAAATTATTATTATTATTATTATTATTATTATTATTATTATTATTATTAT